GTCTTCTGAGAACATGAATTTGTACTGAAAATAGAGCGTATGAGCGCTTTGAGGTGGACTGTTATCATGCCTTACTCCTTATCTCACCATGCCGCAGGCATTATTTCAAGGGAAATGTGTTTTCGCATGTCTCATCTTGCAAGGCTGTGGCATTTCTCCTGATTGCCACTTCATTTTCACAGATCAAAATGGCATGATGAATAGAGTTTATGTACAGTAGAACTCTAATAGAGTCATTGTCTTTTAGCTGAAGGGACATTTAAATGTACTTTGGAATGAGTCCCATTTACTGTAGATGCAGTCTATATATGATTGTATACTGTATGTCTCATGCATTATGATTTCCTACAATGCAATTTTATGTAGTTGAACTACAGGGCTGCATACAAAAAGGGTGCTGTGATGTCCATACAGCGCTCATATCACCCACCGACTGATTTTACGCTTTGGCCCAACCACTGCTCTTTAGATTACCAGTTCATTACATTTAGTTATCAGGGATTTGCAGACCTCCATGAAAATATTTCTTCCTTTTCATGTAAATTTCAGCAAATATCAAAATGATTAAAAGATGTCCAAACCACAATTGGGTGTAATTTCCTGCCATGTTTCAGGAAAAAAAAGATAATTATTGTATTTTAAAAGTGTTCAACACAGTTTATTTGAATATCATTTTTTAAATAAAATTATTGTGTTACTGCCAAGAAAGGTGTTTTTTTTTTTTTTGTTTGTTTTTTTATCAGTAATGTCATAGCTACAAAATATTCTTCCCAAATTGAAAGTACAACATGTTTCTATGCATTCGGTTTTGATAAAGAGTTGAGTTTGGTCCTCACTGGGTTGTTGTTTTTTTCATGAAATGTGGATCATTGATGACATTAGGTCCGTTTCAAAAGTAATAGATATTGATCCAGTGATCCTGAATGGAGCTAGACTTGAGGAGAGGGAGGAAGATGAAAGGTTGTGGACACTCAAAGTCAGTAGCTGCTAACTGATAATGTGATTTGATGAATGTTTATTTGTAACATAGTAGGTTATCTGTCTGTCTGCCTATCTAGTCTGTCTCATCTGTCTTTCTCGCCACTCTCATTGAACTTTTCAGCGACCTAACTGCTGTCGGACTTGTGACAGCCAGTCGCCACCAGCAGGCTCCCATTCAGATGTCATTGAGTGTGAATCTGAGTGTAGAGGTGATGAATGTGGGATGTCAGCTGGTGATGTCTGGTGTCCCTGAAGCTCCAGTATCATTGGACGCTGGGCCTGCCAGAATAGCAAGCTGGCTGAGTGTGTGGCGGACAAGCAGTTAAGGATGGAAAATGAGACGGGGCGTTCATGGAGAAAGAATGGAGATGTGCAGTTTTAGGATGTTTTTCTGTGTGTGTGTGTGTGTGTGCTGTTTTTGTGCAATCATAGATTTGAACATATGACACCCAGGGGCTGTGATTCATCATCATGTTGCTGTCACTGCCTGCACCCGTGTTCTACTTTACTGAGCTCATGCATATGTGCTCTGATCTAGGGCAGGGTGATAGTTCAAATCATAAAAGAATTAATTTTTGTTCTGGTTGATTAGGCAACATCCTTCCTTGCTGGTGGTAAAAACATGGCGGTTTAATACTAAAGCAAAAACTAATTGAGATTGTTGTCTGTGTCCTCTATGACAAATACATTGCATTTCCTGTGAATTCTTCACAATAAAAGCAACCCGGTGTTTCACCGGTTGAATGCTTTTAATGTAAATTAGCTGCAGTAAGAAATGTTTTTATTACACCGAAAACACGTCAGGCAGCGGCGAAGTGCGGCTCCGCGCCATAGTTACAGTTTCCTGCGGCATGTTCATAGTTTTCTGGTTGCATGTTGTCGTTATCCTAAACTTTAATTTAAGTGAGTGAGCTGCAAACGATGAGGTTGAGGTTGATGTTAATGCGATACCATTATAAACAGTGTTAGGAGTGGTAGGGGGTTATAGTTCTCCTTTCCCTTAACATTTTGGACTGCTTTTTGTTCAGACATCATAATGATGTGTAGTTAAGCTGTGTGTTGACAATAGGATATCACTAATAGGTGTGCGTGCTTCCACTGGAGTTATCTAGCCAATTTCATAATTGGACTCAGCTGCACAACAGGTGAGTGAGTGCTGAGTGGAGTCAGATTCTGAAAGTGCAACTCTATATACTACTGCTTCACACCTTTCCATCTCATGACATTTTGTGGAAGCACTGTTGTATTTCGGAGACCCATCTACCAACAACCTAAACTGAGCAGAAGTAATGTTAACAAACCAAGACGGAGCTTGCAGCTCACGGGGTCAGAGACCAGCGCCGTCGAGGTCTTGTCTGATGGACCTGCTAAACTGCTAACCCACGACCAGCCTGCTAACTCCGTAAACTAACCCACCTAGCCTTAGGAATCAGTCCAATACATGAAATTAAGCCATCTCAAATGGATGAAGAATTAAGTTCCATTCTATTCATTCAGCAACTGGGTAGTTTGCTGACTAACATTAGCTTGTTAATTATGCTTTGATGCTAACCTTATGAAACATAAAAAGCACCACATGAACTGCTGGGCTTGGATGCTAATTGCTATGCCCACTATTATGATTAGGGTAAGGTATGAGTGCAGTGGATGGTCTATTATTGCAAAATATACAAATAACGATTCTGACTTTTGAAATAGTCTAAGAAGTAGAATTGACAGTAAGGCTCCAGGCTCACTGTTTTTCACCCCCATCCTGAAACATTATTTAAACCCGAAGTAAATGAAAACCGTCAAAAATTCCAAATGTTATCCCTTCACTTTTATTGTCATCTATAGTGGTTACTTACATACAAACGCATAATTCAAAGGGTGAGAAAAATACATAATTGTATTTAAATACTTTTATTTAAAAAATCTTGGCAATAGTTGTTTTAATTATGAATTATAAGCTGCTTAGAGCTAGTGTTAGGAAGTCAAACAGATCATAATTCCCTCTCTAATTCTTTTATATTGCTGTGAAAACATCCGTATGAATTCAAGTTTCTCGCCAAAAACAAATTTTTTGTTGCCAACATTTAAACACATGTTGGCGTTGTGATTTACCTTTGCCCAATCCTGCCAAATTTTTACTGAATGCCTTGAACACCACATAATGCAAGTCAATGCAATCTCTGTTACCGTTGGCTGTACGTACAGTTACAAGAAGGAATGTGCGAGGGAGAGACCTTACTGTCTGCAGAGAAGCCTGTCCCTGCAATTACTCTGAGCAGCATGCATGGCAATAAATTACAATATAATAAGTATCTGATTTAAGTTGTTTGTTCCTCCGAGACTTATTTTTGACTTGCAGTTGTGACAAATTGCATATGTGAAGGAGACATATGTCTCCTTCACTCATGCTGAAGAACATCCACACCGCCGACTTGTGTGTGGCTGTGACGGTACTGAGAGCTGAAACGAGTATTAAAGCTACTGTATGTGTGTTTAGAGGCAACTTATGAGAGTTACATGGTTGACAGGCATGTCTACTCCTATTTACTACCCCACTGCTTGCCGTGATGCTGCAGCGTGACTGCAGCATTTCACAGTTCCTGAAGGAGCTCAGAACGCAAGCAGCTGAGAAGCTTTCTGGCAGAGGATTCATGTCAGTATTTCAAAATGTCCTGTGCAGATGGAGAACATCATGTTGCCTTTTATTCCCAGGAAATTAACATGACATTCTGCTTCGTCCTGGTCAATAAAGGCTGTTTTAGGGAGTCTCAGACTTTGCCGAGGAGAACAGTAGGAGCGTTTGTCTGGTCCCATTGAAGTAGAACATGAACAGGTCCTCTATCTGGTCCTCTAGTTTTCCCCCGTAAATAGAACGGCACAAGTGGAGGCTTAACTTTCTCAAGCTTCACTTTCCCAAGCATAGCTGTGAAAGAGAGCAAGAGAAAGAGAGTCGTCCTATCAGATTCTCTTAACAGCTCGGTAGGTAATGAGAGGACCGGGAGAAAAACTGCTTTCCGTACACCAGATCTCCATTTATCTCCCAGCACACCCCGAGTGTAACTTAAACTCACGCTTACCCACCAGGGATCTGCTCAGAGCAGTATGTGAACCATTAGAGAGAAGTTTCATGTCTAAATAGTTTTAACAGTCATATGGAGGAAAGGATGTGGCAATGTGTTGTATATGATATGGTGTGAGACTATGCCTTGGAGTCGTCGGCATCTTCTCTGCTGCAGTTGAAATGGAGAATTTGCAAGAAGGGATAGTGAAAGCTATCCTCTTAACCACAGCGCCATGGGGGGGGGGGAAAGAAGCCATAGTCAGACTGCCAGGTCCTGAACATCATCTATTTGGCTTTTTTTAATGAAAGCCATGTTCTGTGATGCAACTCAGGTTACCAATAATTATGAAGCATCCTGTGTGGGGAAAAAAACAGCACAGGCTAAAATGATTATGGTCATTTTGAGTTTTCTTGACACCTTAATGCTGTCATACATCAGAGAGTGATTTATGGTTCGTCTGTTACCATTCAGCTTTGACTCCTGTGAGATTTACTGTTTGTCTCCTTGCTTTTGTCAAACCTGCCATAACCAAATCAAGCCTGTCCATAACCTCATAATGGCAGGATGTAATTGTACGGGGGAAAAAGGAAAAATAAAAGGACTGCTTCTGTTAATTTAATTTAGGAGCGTCCGAGGGAAGATTTGGCACACCATTAGCATACTATCCTGACATCAGCGCGTGTGTGCGTGTGTGTGTGTGTGTGTGTGTGTGTGTGTGTGTGTGTGTGTGTGTGGGGTTTAGATTTGTAAATGAAGTGGAAAGAAGATCACCTCCTAAGTGAAAGAATGAAATAACTTTGGCAAACCAAAGGGCGTCTTTGTGCCAAAGAAAAAAGCCTACTTCTCTTGTGGCCGTGTCTGGGGTTTCTGTTTCCCAAATGTATTGTATGTTTTCTGCTACGGTATTATAGGCACAGCTTGTAGGAAAAAAACATTTATTTCTCCATTCTTTCTGTCTCTTTACAGAGTTAAAGTCTACCGGCACAGCTCATCACTTCTCCTTTTTGCTGAACTCGACTGACTATCGGATTCTTCGCATGGATGAGGACCATGACCGCATGTATGTGGGCAGCAAAGATTATATCCTCTCTCTGGACCTGCACGACATCAACAAGGAGCCGCTCATAGTAAGAAATGTCACACACAAAGAATAATCCTGGCTTAGCTCTGCACAGGTTTATATCTAACCAGCTTGTTGATCTCTCCCTGTCAGATCCACTGGCCTGTTGCTCCCCAAAGGAAGACTGAATGTGTCCTGTCAGGAAAAGACACCAATGTAAGTATTCAAATAGTATGATGAAGTGAAGTGCTGAAACAAGTCAATGCCCCGTTTTTCAGTCCTTATTAATTAAGCAAAAATGGCAAACATTTCCAGGTTCCTGTTTCTAAAATATATAGTTTTAATATTTTCTTGTAAATGTATTCTATTTGGGATTTTTAGACTGTTGGTCAGATAAAATTAGCATTTATTTTTTTTTTATTATGGATTAAACAATGAATGAACTAGCCCAAAAATAAAATAAAACTCCCATGCAGGTGACCTCCTGAATATTTTGTAGATTTTCATACAAGCCTTTCAAGCATCAACTCTTAAGAACTGCAAGAGTTACAGACCCCCCCAATGTTCCTCCTACTAATAAAAGCACAGCTGTAAACCATTGTCCCTTTTGACCTGCTGCACATTTAACATCATTTTATCTGGTGATACCCTGGTGTTTAAAATCACAAGTGTGTTTTTTCGTGTTAGTGACATGCATGATTTGAATGTGACACTGGGGTCAGTGGAGGACATTTTAAAGCTCCTTTCAATGTGTGATTTGCTGTGAAGCTCTTATTTACTGTCTCTTCATCCCTGATTACTGATTGCCTACAGCTGCAACCAATTAAGCTTTTGGCAGTCTCCTTCGAGAGCTGAAAACATATTACATGCACCTCCCTACATATCTCGTACATGTTATAGACGTTTCTAATTAATGTTTTAACGTGATCTAATTTTCTTTTTTGCACAGTGATTATTTTTACCCTGTGTTGTCCAGGCAGGCGGACAAAATTAAGCAGCCCCTGGAAGGTACAGGCCTCTCTGAAGTGTTAATACGATTCAGACGTTCAAACACAGCCACCGCCGGTGCAGCCCCCACATGGAAACACATCATGGAAATTCATATACAAACCAGATCATTTTCTTTTGATTTTATTCCCCCCCGAAACACTCTTCTCACACATGTTAGGGGTGAGCGCTGGCAGGAGCGGTGAGCACCAACAGGGTGATGAGGCTCTGGCTAATAACCCTGCTCTTCCCTGCTGGTAGAGAGCGCAGGCGGCTGTTTATCCAACTGGAATGTCCATTTATGCGTGTTTGGTGACCCGCGCCTCTCACAGCCTCTGGCTACGTCGTATTGGCCCTGTGTGTGTGTGTGTGTGTGTGTGTGTGTGTGTGTGTGTGTGTGTGTGTGTGTGTGTGTGTGTGTGTGTGTGTGTTAGAGGTGGGTTTGAAATTTCATCACTAAAATAAGAAATACAATTGGCTACTGGGATACATCGTGGCAATCCTGGCCCACTCTTTAGGGAATGACAGATGATGACAATTCAAAAGCAATTCAGAGGGGATGTCGGTTCAGGCAGGAGGTCAAAGGCAATCATCCCCACTGTGCTCTCTGTGGGGGAGCACAACTGTGCGCTAAATAATACACACAGGCCCACATGCATAAACCCACACACAAAATAAAACATCCTCTCAAACCTCTGACTTGTGCATCTGTCGTGTTGCTAAGATCTGCCAAAATGGCTCATCCCCCATCCTGCGTAGAATCTTTTTTTTGTGCTTAGTACATCCTTTCTTTTTCGCCAGCTTTCACTAGTGGCTGACATGATGGACAAATCTAAACAGATATCATCGGCCTGTACATTTCTGTTGAGAGTTTTGATTTGGGTGGATTGAGACCAGGAAGGCAGACAGCTGGTTGGACAAATAAAGAGATTAGAAAGCTGCAGACCTCGAAATCACAGAGCTGTTTTCACCAGCAGCACCTCTTTGTCTGCAGCCTAAAAAGAAAATTGATCATCTTCTAAATTCACTTACCACTTAGATATTTAAATATGGAAATAAACTACATCAGTGGTGAGATGTTGAAAAGCTCACAACAGGAAGCGTCTCTCTTCTAAAAAAATTTGATTGGATTTTAAAAATCTGTTTTCGAAAAAATACATTTTTCACACAAAAGTCTTGTTTGGTCTAACCAAAATGTTTTTCCAAGTCTGACAAAACATTGAATTGCTTCTACCCTCAGTCCCCATAGCAAAACACTTCACAGCTGAGATGCGCTGCTTTTCTTTGTGTCTGCCATACTGTTGTATGGAAACAATTTTCCCTCCGACAGTGTGGTCTGATGTGAAGCCTGGGCCAAGCCAACACACAGAGCCAGAGAAAAGAGCTGCCAAACACAAGCCATCCAACAGCGGATAAGGATAGATGTGATGGTTTTAAGCCAGGCAGAGAGGTTATTAACCATCAGTGGGACATTACGTATTATGTAACCCTTTTTTTCCCATTGCATTTTCATGATCAGAGTAATGTTTTTAACCTAAATCTCTAATCCTGTTTTTGCTCTCCAACAGGGAGAATGTGGAAACTTTATCCGTCTGATTGAGCCGTGGAACCGGACCCACCTGTATGTGTGTGGAACTGGCGCGTACAACCCCATCTGCACCTACGTGGACCGAGGACGCAGGTCACAGGTAACCAAAGACGCTGCCCAGCAGCCATGGAGACATTTTGACCTTCACTCTCAGGTTCTATCTGTCAATCAATCTCGGGTCAGAGAATCTACTTCTGCTCTTGCTCCTCAGTTTCACGGGCTCTGCTTCTCTTCCATCATTTTCTGCTTCTTACTTTTCATCGATTTGTGCTGTTTCACGGTCTAAGAGACTCAAAGAAAGAAGCTCATGGCCAGTCCTATCTAGATCTCTATTATTGCAAAATTGCTGTTGGTGAGATACCTAAGTGCCACAGCTTAGAGATTGTTGAGAAACCAATCTTTTCTTACCGCTGGGAATAGCATGTTGACAGTATATCTGTAGCAAATAGCCTTCCGTGTAGTCCCCTCCTCACCTGTTTTAAACACAACAGAGCCTGTGGCCTGTCTTTCTATCTGGGCTGAGAGCTTCTGAAAGGCCATCATTACTGATGAAGCCTCTCATCCATCATCAGCCTTGTAGCTCACCCCTCCGACCCTCCCTCCATCCCTCCCTCGCTCCAGCACGGTGGCCATGCAGAGCTGCAGCAGCTGCCTGCCCGGTTACAGTCCATACACTTACATTCACCACTCTGCCTGTCTAGTCTCACTGTTCAACTGGTGGGTTCAGATTTCAATGTAAAGGTCAGTCCAGCCTCTTGTCATTCAGCTTCTCCCTTAAGGCCCAAATGCTATGTTACTTCACACTGTAAAGATTTTCTCCAGCAAGTGTAGATGTAAACAGAAACCAATTGTTCCAAAATTCTTCCGCTTAGTACACGGAGGGCTTCACACATTTTCTGTCCTCAGTTAACTCAACTTTTCCCCTTAACTGCATCAATCTTCCTGCTTTTTATGGTGTTTAAGAGCTCCTTTTTGCAGGGTTACACATTTTGGGAAAAATCTAAACGAGACTGCTGTGATTCAGCAATGTGTCATTCATATATATATATATATCTGTTTTTATTTGTTCTATCCTTCACTTTATATACTGCTAAATGTCATGTATTTTTTTCAGTTGTTTGTCTCAGTTCGGTGCATTTCCTTTTCTTTTTGTCGTTCCTGGCACTGCATGGTTTATGCATGGAGTTTGCAGCTGTGTTTACTTGACACTGATTCTAATCCAACATGGTTACTAAATGATGAACGTCACCCACCAGGCTTTCGTTGCTCTACTTCGAGCACTTTATTTATTAATTTTTTTTAGTTCTTCAATTGGACTTGTTTTTTCTGGTCCTTCGTTTTTGCACTTTCCTATTTCCGTCTTTTGTTTATGTCCTGGTCATCATCAAGTTAAATACACTTTGTTCTGGGCTGTCGAATGTCGTAATGAGATGGCCCACTGTGCCATGTCTCTGTTTTTAGGGGTCCCACTACCTTCAGGCAGCCCAATCTGGAGGGAGAACAAGTCGGGCAGCAGACTACAGCACTACGTCAGAGCCTTTGGAGGCTAAGGTGGGCTGAAGGGAGTTTTGTAAAGGCTCTTAAGTTTGGTGCCCACCTGGAGTACTTTTTCAGTCTCAGTTGGAGTAGTAGAGATAGCACAGCTATCCAAAAAGTAACTGGTTGTCAGACATATTGACACCCTAAAAACATCATGCTGAATCTCCAAAAACCTTTCAAAATATTAATGTGACTAAATATGTTTTTACAAATATTTTTTTGCAAAAAGTTGCTTCCCTCCACCAGTACTCGACACAAGACAATGATTTGTAAAGTTACTATTCTCGTGCTAATGCAGTTTTTTCCATCAGATTTGTACTATGAGTGATGGGATCCAAGATGAATGCAACATTCTCTCCCCATGTCGGAACTATTTTGTTTTTTGCCATGAAATATGTATTTGTTTTTGTCTGTGCTTTTAGCAACAGTATTAAAATCTTGATAGATTATAACATAGGGATATTTTTTCCCAAACATTGATTTTTAATGATGCTTGTTTTGCCACAACAATGAATATAACAGAAAACAATTAAGATTTGGAGGCTTTAATGCTGCAGATAGTACCTATAAGAAAATAACTGTTGTTGGCTGAAACCGTTGATTTGTTTTTTTTCCAAATGATGGTTTTCATCCACACACATTGTTTTTTCTTTTATTGAAAAAAATATGTCCAAGAACGGGTAAAAAAATAACCCAGCTTTGACATTATTCTGCTTTCCCTTACATATTTCCTACCTGTCAGACATCATTAGCCAGCTTTAAAGTAGCTGACAAAACTCCATGTAGACACATACCCAGTGTTGACACAGATGTTCAAGATGTCCTCTTGCACTGTGGAATAATTAATTCTTGTTTGAGCCACTAACATCAGACGCATGGTGGATGAGTTTTGGATTACTCTCAGCATTTTCCTCCACCTCCCCATCTCACAGATAACTGGCTTTTTGTTCCCCTCAGCAGATCCAATATTGCAGTGAGAGTTTGTTTAAAACTGCTTTTAACATCCAAGTATACTTCAAAGTGCCTTGTAAATGCTGCATTCAAAGAATAACCTTCCCCCACAAACACACACCAATGATTCCTTAAACACAATACATCTTTTATCAAATAAGAAAGGAAAACAAGAAAATGATTTATTATGTTTTAACTAATTCTTTACTGTCTTATAGGAATATATCTTCCGACTGGAACCTGGTAAAGTGGATTCTGGGAAAGGAAAATGTCCTTATGACCCCAAACTGAACAGCGTTTCTGCTTTGATCAGTAAGTCCCTGCTTGTTTTTTTTCCCATGTACAGGCAGCTTTAAATAGTGATCCATGGAAAAAGTTCTTTAATGTGTCTTTTGTTTTAGTCTGTACGCTGTGTAAGTATTTACTTAAAGACAATCTCAGTTGGTTGTGAGCTGCCCATAAGGTAATACACTCTGATTAAGTTTCTGCACCAATGAACAGTTTGGGGCAGCATCTCATTTTATTATCAATTAATCTGCCCATTATTTTCTCCATCAATCATTTAATTGTTGTGTATATGAAAGGAAAATTAATTGTGTAAAAAAAAAGAAATTAAAAAAAAAAGGATTTTTTGTTTTGGCTTTTTGTCCGACCAACTGTCAAAAACCCAAAGACAGTCACTTTACGATCATATGAGAGAGAGAAAATGGGCAAATCCTCACAAAGTTGCAACCAGAGAATTTTTGGCATTTTGTGCCGATCATTTCCACTCTAGTACAGTCATAGTTTCATCAATGTGTTCACGGTCAGGCTGATGTGTGTGACCTCATGGGGGTGGGAGGTCTTTTGTTGTCAGCAGCTTACAGGTGGTCAGACATGGCAGTTTATCTGTGACCTCCTGCCCTGCTTGCGGGTGTGTGAGAGAGTGAAGGATAAAACGAGAGAGACCTCGCTATGTCAGCTTAATTCCAGCTGACCTGAACAAAACTGTAACACCAAGAAAATGAGCTACAGGCTGTCCTGCACAGCTGGCAGGGCAGAAACATACCACACTGAGGACAACAGAGGAAGCTGGAGTTCCCGTGGTTTAGGCATTTTTACACAAACTACTTTTCTTACCACCTATGACTTATCAAGTCTGATGTCACAAACATGATGACATTGTGTAAATCCAGCTGTCCTTTGGAGTGTCACTGATTGGCCTGATGAGTGTCATTGCAATATAATTGAGAGGTCAACATTTTCAACCCAGACGTGACACTTCTGACACTAGTGGACTGGGTTTGATGAGATTTTAAGTCTGGTATATCTTGGCACTGTGCTGTTGTTTTTAAAGAAATTAGAATTATCATGCAGAGTAAAGACATCTTAACTCTGAATGGCCACCGCTGCTGTCCGTCCCGCCAGTCTGATTTTGATGAAACCTGAAGGGGTTAATACAACTGTTTAATTAAGTTTCAATGAGAGGTGGATGACAACATGTTCGTTACTAAAACCTGAACATTTTTCATCCTTTGTGGCTTCACATCTGCAACAACCTTCCTTCTTCCTCTGTGACTGACAGATGGAGAGCTGTATTCAGGAGTCTACATTGATTTCATGGGAACAGACTCGGCAATCTTCCGTACTCTGGGGAAGCAGACAGCCATGAGGACTGATCAGTACAACTCCAGATGGTTAAACGGTAATGTCTCAACTCGCGGCCTGTTCTGCAGCCAGCATCATTTCTTTCACTCATCTCTTTCCAGACTGTTTCTAATTTATTCCTCAGCTCTTGAAGTACACTGCTGTAATGATTCTCGCAACTTCCTGTATGTAGCTTCAACACTGCCCTACATATCGCCCTGTCCCTAGACCTATGTGGTCTAGGGATGAGATTGTTGTTCTGTTTCAGCCTGCTCCACATGAGCATTTGACTCCAAGCATGAAATGCACTACGCTAATTGTTGACTGCATGCCTGCAGAGCTTTGACCACAAGGTCAGTAGTGTAGTAGCACAGGCAGATTACTGAATGTCAATAATAATTGAGAGTAGCCTCTGCTTTCTGAACGTGATTGTCCCAGCGTTGTAAATGCTGTTAGGGAGCATTCGGTTGATGTTGCCAAATCAATCACGGCCCCCCCCCCCCCCCCCCCGGTGGCGCTGGCTTCCAGATTTTCCTCTGACCCTGTTGCCCTGACAACAGTCCCCTAGCAGTGGCACACTGAATCGGGACACCTGAGTCCTGCTAATCAGCCATGCGGAATCCCTCGGATGTTTCCCCCTCCCCCAATACGCGGTTCCTGGTTATCCCCTCTCCTGGTTTTTGTTTGTCCCCATTTGGGACCCTGGTCAGTCACAGAGAGGAGGGGCACCCAGCGGTGACCCACTAAGCCAGCCAGTGGGAGCGTACTGTGATGCCATATTAAGCATTGTCACTAGGAAGAAATAAAAGGGTGGGTTCAGGACAGTTATAGTGCTATTCTTGCCTCCAGGCTACTATTATTTAGGTTACAGGAGTATTGAGGTCTGGATGAGACCTCTGCCTCATCCAGCTTCTCTGTGACATGTTTACTGTCGTCAAGTTAGTGAGGGTGTTTGGCCCAATGAAACAGGACTTAAAACCTCACTTGTTTTCATGGATATGACTTCAAGTTCTTGACCATGTCAACATATGTTTCTTGAGGGTCTACTGCTTTCACAGACTCTTAAAGATCTTTCTTAAAAGAATAGTCATTAAAACCATTTTTGTCTGGCTATAATCATTTCTCCTGTTAATCCTGGCCATCAATTTAAGTAATAGGGACCATAATGCACAGACCTAATTCTGCTTCAACATTTATATCAAAGTTTAAACCAATAAATTGCTCAGATTAAGCAGGTAATATCTTACGAATTTTTTTTATTTTTTTTTGTTAAAAGCTCCCTGTTACAGTCCTCCTACCATAGCATGGCAAGGAAAAACAAAGAGGGAACTTAAAACTAAACAGACTTGGAGGATGTCAATTTTATTTGTCTCACTCAGACGGCTAAAGCTTCATAATAGCGTCCGCTAAACTTAAGAATGATTTTTTTTCACTGAACAAGATCCCCCATAATTGACACTGGAAGCATGTAGATGGATCTCTTTATCATGTACTTATGTACATGTTTAACACAGACTTCAAAAATGTGAATCTATGCTTTTTTTTTAAAGGATAAATAAAATAGGACAAAGGTGGAGGTTGATATGCACAACTTTGATTTCTTTAATTGGTTGACACTTCAAATATTGCATTCACACTAAAGCCTCACCTGGGGATCATCACATAATAGCTGGTTGTTGGTTTTTTCCTTTTTTAAATTGTTTTATTCTTTCTTTTCTACAGATCCCACATTCGTCCACGCACACCTCATCCCAGACAGCGCTGAGAAGAATGATGACAAGCTGTATTTCTTCTTCCGCGAGAAATCCTCCGAAATGGGCCAGAGTCCAATGACCCAGTCCAGGATAGGGCGGATCTGTCTGGTGAGTTATCGCACCGGTCGGCAAACCTCATGTTGATCATCACAACTGAAAGGTTTATATGTCTCCGTAACGGTTAGTTATAGTCCGATGCCTGTTTCAAAGTCTCTTAGAGGCCCATAAAGACAGTTCCCCACGATCATCTGTAATTGCTGAGCATGAAACGGTAACACAAACAAAATACTAGTTAGACAATCTTTGCTGTTTGCCTCAACAGCTAAGTTTGGAAAGTATTGTTTTTTTTTTTTTTCCTCTGCACGAAATGTTTGAGCGGCAGAGTTTACTTTACTCCACATCTGTACACTCATTTACATCCATAGAAAGCTAGAACTGTGTTCACTCAGCGATGTGGTGCTTTCACCCAGAGTGTTGTTTTTCACTGAGGATGGACAAATAATGACACTGTGTCCAAAACTTAGGAAGTATTGGGCAAATGTATATTTTTCACCGGATTATGGTGCCAGCTGAAAGATAAGGGAATTAAGTTTCTTTTTTTTTTTTTTTTTTTTTTTTTTTTACGATTCGTCCTTTGGGGCCTATGAATATCTGAACCAAAGTACGAAAATGTCAAGCTCATGGCGGCGCTAGAGGGAACTTCAGTGGATCACCAAAGTCAATACGAGACTTAGACTGAGAACCGTGAAAATCTGTACAACATTTGGGGCCAATCTGTAAAGGAGATGAGGAGATATTTTACTGACCGAGTGAAAAGCCTGACCGGCTGGTGGCAATTTCATGCCCATCCAACCTGACAGCTGTCAAGGTATTTAACTACATTCCACATATGTCAACCTGCTGGAGGTGCTAGAAGAAAAGTCAGAGGAATCACTGAGTAGGTTTCATCCTCTGGCCACCATGTATCTGCGTACAAAATGTCATGGTAATGTCAAATGTCATGGTCTCTGGAAGATATTAAAACATGTAACCCTTTTACCACAAGAAACGTTAGGAACAGGATTCTTCCCGAACTTGATGTTATAGTAGATAGAAAAAATACACCAAATGTATTTCTTCCAGCTTTGTAAATCCTTTGGACTCCATAAGATGTGTTGAGTCCCAGCCCATAAATTTCCCAAGGCTCTGAATCTCTACCTCAGCAGTAGAAGTTGGCTGACTCCTGTGCAGATGGGCCAAGCTGAAACACAAAGCTGATCTTTATTCATACAGGTCCAATAACAACAGACCCAGTGCAGTTAGTTACATTACATTACATTACAGTCATTTAGCAGGCGCTTTTATCCAAAGCGACTTACAATTCAGAGTCTATCACATTTCTACACCGTAGACACAACTACGGGAGCAATTTTGGGGTTAAGTGTCTTGCTCAAGGACACATCGACATGCGACTAGCAGAGCCGGGGATTGAACCGCCGACCCTCTGATTGAAAGACGGCCCTGCCGTCTTTCAATCAGAGGGTCAGAGGGACTTAGCCACAGTCGCCCCTAGTCGCCCCTAGTTAGTGTGGAAGGTTGTTTCTAACAGCTGTTAGTCAGACGTTGGTCAGTCTCTTATGATGACTTCTGTCTTTTCCCTACAGAATGATGACGGTGGACACTGCTGTCTGGTCAACAAGTGGAGCACGTTTCTGAAAGCTCGACTCATTTGCTCAGTGCCTGGACCTGACGGTGTTGAGACACACTTTGATGAACTAAGTGAGTTACTATTTTTTGTTTAAGAGTCTCCCTCCACCACTGACCCTTTCAGAGGATCTATGGTGCTTTATTTTATCTCTAGACATTTATACACGCCATCCCCTCAACAGGTGTGTCCTCTGTCCACCACCTGTTGATCATTTAGTCAACGTTTGTGATCTAAATATTAACTTCAAAGCCAAATATCGCAAATATTTTTTTAAAGATCATATTCCACAAATCAGGGAACATGCATCTGCTTAGAGTTGGTGTGAAGCACGTAATGAATATGTGGCAGATGGAAAGTGGGAATTCTTACGTGACCGTGTAACTACAATTCGAAACGAGGGGGCTCCAGATGGACCTCTCGTTGACAGACTCAGTATCAACAACTTTCTCATTTACAGAGTTCCCTTCACATTTTACCCTCCCTTTGCTTTGCATACTTTCGCCATGATGTTACAGTTTTAAGGCCTTCAGCATTAGCGTCTACTCAGATTTTGCTACAGTGTGTGTGAAGCAACGGCTCACTGTACTGGAAGGACTCACACCCGGCAAACTAGCGTTAACTGCAGCATGTGTCTGCTTATGTACAGCAATGTTGGGAAGAATCCCATGGAAGCTGCAGCTTTAGATTAACGTATCACTGACTCATACATGTCAAGCTTGACATGTCTATTCCTTTGAACACCGGCATGGCTCCAGTAGGTAACATCCTGAAAGGTAACATACTTACTGTAAGACTGTGATCGCACTGCTTTCGAGCACCATCCACATGTTTTGCAGAGAATTTCTATTTAAAGAAATAAAAAAAACAAAGAGATTGTAAACCAAATACACACACGCATACAGAGTAATCAAAGTAGTAAGCAGCTGGCGTCAGTCCCACCCACCCCCCCGGATCATCCCGGCCTGTCCGTCATTCACATGACTGACAGGATTAACGAGGGATTTGTAGTATGATGGTGGTATGAGCAGTAAATCTTTCACTACTTTCCACTGGTTTTTGCTCAGTTTTAGTAGAAAATGTGCTCACTACACAATATTCAATGATGGAAAGAATCATTCATTGTGATTTCAACTGCGAGCTTGAATTTACTTTGCGGCATCTCACTTTTCCTAAATCCTGCTGAAGAGATGGATTCAAGTTAAACTCTAATGGATAATGCTCAATCAAGTTTTAAGTCTTGTAAGGCAGCTTTTTAATGAAATGGCAGAAAAAGTAAGTACTGTAAGTGCCACTGAATACATCTCATGGCCCGTAATGGCAAAAAATTAATTTGGAATGACTATAATGTAATGCACTTTTCTGAGAAATTTGTCATTAAACATTTTTGTACGAAATAGAATAACGTTTAGTCATGTAGTATAATTTTGTGACGCTAAATGCTAACCACTGCTACAACGTAGAGCTTGTATCGTTAACCACCTTACTTTTTACAAAAAACAAACACAATTTCAAAAACAAAAGCTAAACAGAGGTAACACCTCCCAGAATATTCTTGAAATGGTGGACAAGAATCTTGTGGAATGCGCAGTGTCTTTTAACATGGTCGCGTGGTACGGCCATTTAAATTAAAGGGAAAAGGACAGATGCCACTAAGCAGCAGGCTTGTAGTGAATACCAAGAAGAACGAAAGCTCTGTCCAATCCATCGTACCCACAATTTATAATGCTTCCCTCGGGACGAGGCTTTAAACTGCCTCAAGTCACCACAAATGTCTTCAAAAAAATCCTTTACCCAAAGCTTATCTAAATTATTATATACATAGTCAATCACACAGCTTTTGACTTAAAAGTGCACAATTTAAAATTCATAATGCACTGCTCACATACGGCAGTTACAGCTGATGACGCGGTCCATCCTGGACAGCATCGTTGCGTAAGCGTAGAGGTCGCCCTCCAGTTCCCACTCAGGTAAAGCGCTGTTAGTGCAGTCATTACTTTTGCAGTTGTTTGCACTAATAGCTGCGAGTGGCCGGCTCAGCATCTAGAGCCGTTTCGAGGCCATAGAAATGCTCCCAATCGCTTACTCAGCCCTTTAAATGTTGCTCTTGAGCACAACATTTAGATCACAGCTGACGGTCAGCAACATACACATACAGTACATGTACCCTTTTAAGAATATATTCTTTTATTCCTATTTTGCCTATATATTGTGACGGTATTAAATAATTCACCCAGTAACTATGCACCCTGCACAGTTTTGAGTTAAATGTAGAGTAGCATCTCTTATTCCTGCTGTGATGAGGCTTTGCGAGTTGCAAATGTATGTTCTGCATTAAGAGCACTCGGTGTCAGTGACAGAAAAAAGCTCCTCTGGCAGCGTTGCTGCAGTTATACTCGTCTATCCACAGCACAGCAGGTCAGTTGTAGTTTTAGTGCAGACGAGCACTCGTGGTGAGGTCATTGTGAGTCCTGAGGTGCAGTGTAACATCCCACAGCTCTGTGGTCAGTCTTCCCACAACCACACAGACAGTCTGGTAGAAATGTATTCTGTCTCCAGTCCTGCTGGTCCTGATGGAGCCCAGCAGAGGCATCAGAGTGGTTGTATAAAGACTCGAGGGAGAGAGTAGAGTAGATTCAGATGGTGAGGCACAGTCAGGGTTAACAGAGGAGAAAGCATTCAGTGTTGTACCAAGGGAGAGGAGGAGTATAAAGACAGGGGAAAAGACACGCAGACGCTAGAGAGATGAAAATATCTGCCAGACAAAAATGAGAATAAATGTGTGGGCGATAAAGTTTTATTGCCTTTTCTGAGATATAATTATGAAGGGAAACATTGTTTTTTCACTGAGTTATGTTTCACCGTAGTCCACAAATCCCAAAACCCTTTTATTATCTATATGAAGACATAGGTCCTTTCTGTTTGGGTTTCAGTTTTCTCTGTCATTTTTCTTAGTGGACATTTCACCAACATATTTTAGGAGCACATCCTAAGGGTGGGTGTCAAGGAGGTAATGATACGCTATCTGTAGTGATTTGACAGGGAATATTCACGGGATGGAAGATGAACTGAGTGCGTCATACACTTTCTCTTGTTTCTACTTAAAAAAAGCAAACTTTAAAGCAACCGGAGATGTTTCTCTGCTAATGTGTGATGTTGAGAGCGTCTCAAAGGCTGTTTCTGATCTGACACATCAGCAACTAAAGTTGCAATGACGCAACTTGTTCTAGTTCTCTGCTGATTTATTTCTTTTCTCTTTCAATGTGCTCGTCCTGCAGCCAAGAGGTCTGTGAAACTGGCGTCGGATGGGTTATGAATTTCTTCTTTGTCTGCCAAAAGTACATTTTTGCTTTAGTGTGCAGCCATTACCTGCTATTTGCATACATTGGCATGTAAGGAGGTCTTTTTCTGAAATTATTTCAAACTCATGATCAAAAGAGTTTGATTTTGCAACTTTGCACATTCAGAAATGTTGTTTTAACTCAAGTCTTGTGAATTTAAGCTTGTTTTGTTTTGTGCACACTAGATAAAGCAAAGGCCATAAGGATCAAATCATGTGTTGTCACATTTCACCCTCAATTCTACATGCATAATTGTGGCTTAACATTTTGTTCTTTCACCATGCTTCTCATGTTGATTCAGGTGATATTTGAGAGATACATCTGAATGGACGGCTCTACTGACAGATGTCCATTCAGATGCGCCTGTGTTGTGGCAGATGAATGTCTTGCCTCTAGCTTAATGGATAACAATGAAAGAGATCTCAGCTTGTAAAACAGAGGATGGGATTTCATGCCCCTTAACTGTAATTGGTGTTTTCTAAATACTTTTGACTATAGGTTATTGTTGTCCTTCTCTTTTCAAGGCAATTTTAAACCGTTCCACTAGTTTCCAATTGATGCACAGCATTAAGTGGACGCGTGTGTTCAACTGCAGATGAAGTGTTATTCTACTCAACCTGTCTACTTTAAATGTATTCCAGTTTCCTTCTATACTGTTTTTCCTTGCACTTTTCTCTCATTAAGCCATCAAGAGGATACGCAGGGTTCACAACAGCCTCACCCCCGCAGTCGTTGGATGCATATGGCTCCTATTAAAGTCATGTTTCACCAGAGATCTCTATTTCACTTGTATTCCACGCTGAGACTCAAGAAGTGTAGTTTAAGCTTTGGAAGAGTTTGGATTCAGGATCTCATTGAGGCTCTCGTAACCGCAATTCATGAGGTCTCCCTTTGCCTCCCACTCCTAGGAAGCAAAAAGTCTCTATGTTACAATTACAATTATTTTGGGTTGGAACCAAGTGGAATCAAGCCTTGGGATGATTTGACACAAGACACAGACCCTAATATTTACTTAATAAATTGAATTGAATAAACTTATACTTCACTACATTTCAGAGGGACATATTGTGTTTATTACTATTCTTTTGATTTTACAAACAACAACATATGAAAAGCTTGTTTAGTACAATGCATAGTTAGAAATTAAAGCAGTTGCTCTCTTGGCTGTGGCTCCTTGCAATATGTTTCAGGCTTGTATGAGAGAGTGATTTCCCCTTTAAATGTCAGTTTCATTTGAATAATTGTTTGAGGCCCAAAAAAGGTCAAATTATCCAATATTTCACAAAAACAGCAAAGGGGCCAAAATATGTAGATGTGTTTGTAGCCGAATTTCTTTCTTTTCTTCTTCTTTTTCTCTATATTACACGTTTTCATCTCACAACCCTTCAGATTTATCTTATGGCCTTTTGGTGGGAGACTGACCTCTGGGTTGGGAACCACTGGACTAAACCACCCGCAGTAAAGTAATTAAATGTAGCTACAAATATCTACCAACAACTGAACTGATTCATCAGTATCCACAATCTAACAATGCCAGGTATAGTAATGTGTGCGTCACAGGCACAAAGAGTAGTTTTACTTTTGATACTTCACTTCCCTTTTGCTAATAATAATTCTGTACTTTTATTTAAAGTTACAATCTTGAAGATCTCTTTGGCAGCACCTATGGCGATAAGCGTTAATTGCAAGATGAGTTTTTAGATGTCAGATCTAAGAGATCCAAATGGTGTCTTGCCGACCACCCACTGCTGGGTGATGGGAAACGCATCACAAACACCGCTTGTCGCCACAGACACTCAGTCTGTAATATTGCAAATGCAAGGGCTTTCCCCAGTGCACCATAGGCTCAATCACCATTGTGTTACCTCATTTGTTTATTTAAATGAGAATCTTAAAGATTATTTAAGTACAATTTTGAATGCAGGGCTTTTATGTGTAATTGATTTTCTGATTGTCAATGTACTTTCACTTAAGGATCTGAGTACTTTCACCGCTGCTTTTCATGGTTTGTGACTGTGACTAATTACTATAAATGATGTCTTTATCTTTTAGGGGATGTGTACATCCAGCCAACTCAAGACACCAAAAATCCTGTCATCTATGGCGTCTTCTCAGTTTCAGGGTGAGTGACTGACGGCTCTCTCAAACTCTCCAACTTTCATGCAGTTTGGAGGGAAAGTGTATTTTGGTTTCCTCCTGCGGTTTTTTGTTCATTTTCAGTCAGCCTGAAGTTGTCAGCGCTCCCTCTGATATTGAAATGCTGTGTTGCGTATGGCCTGTCAGATTCAGGCTACAAAGACAAAGGCTGTGAATCTGGAGCCCAGAGGGAGTCGCGCTCGTCTGAGAGACTGCGTGAGCCTAAAGTTCCTCGTAGGTCAGGCTTGATAGCAAGTTGTCATTCAACACACACAGCATTAAAATTCAAGGAAACCCAACCAGACATAAATTGAGATTCTGTCTGTGCTCAGGCAGGGAGAGGAGTGCACAGAGTCATAATAAACATGTCTTGATTAATGTATTTGAGAAACAAATACTGTTATTGTTCCATCCTCCCCTCAGGCATCAGGCACGTTTAAACCCAGCTGATAAAAACACATGCAGCGCTAATGATAGATCCCCATGACAGGAGTTACAAACATGGTACACCCACCACACAGCAGCAAGCAGCCTGAGCTCTGGCGATTCACTGCAGTATGTGGGTGTTTGTATGTCAGTGTGTCAGACAGCTTGACTCTAGTTGAATCGGTTTAAGTGCGTTTGTGCGTCATTATGTTTCATTTCGTTTCTGTAAGAGGCCAGAGTACGTGGGAAGGAAATAGATTCTACCAGCCGCACAGAGCACCCCGTAGTAATTATCTCAGGGAGTGAGTTCATCTGTATCCCTCTAGTCGCTTTCTCTGTGTGTTCATCCTCTTTTCTCCTGCCTTCCTCCAGAGCTGTGTTCAAAGGCTCGGCGGTGTGCGTCTACTCCATGGCTGACATCCGTATGGTCTTCAACGGGCCTTTTGCCCACAAGGAGGGGCCCAACTACCAGTGGGTGGCGTACACTGGGAAGATCCCTTACCCACGACCTGGCACTGTGAGTTATAAACAGTAAACTATCATGAATACACATGCCTCCTCCCATTAAACACTAAATTGTGTGTCGTCCTTTTATAAGAAGTTTTTACTGCATAAGGAATTTGGTAAATTGCAGGGTTCACAGTCCTACTTTTTTTTTTTTCATCAACAGTGTCCTGGAGGCACTTTCACCCCCAACATGAAATCCACAAAGGATTACCCAGACGAGGTAATCAACTTCATGAGAAACCACCCCACCATGCACAATGCTGTATACCCGGTGCACAAGCGCCCCCTGGTGGTCAGAAACAACGTGGACTATGAGTTCACCACAATTGCAGTGGACCAAGTGACAGCTGCTGATGGGAGCTACGAAGTGCTCTTCCTGGGCACAGGTCGGTGATCTAAGCCCTTAATTGACATTATGTGCTGATTGTCTAGTCATCTAATAGTCCGTTTTAAGTTCAGTAACTCTAACCTTGGCTCTCTCTGGCAGATTCACACATAAGCAGCACAAACCTGCTTTGCTTTTTTAATCATAGATAGGTTCAATTTAGGGAGTTCTCAAACCAGTTTTCTCTTAAACAGACATCTGAGTAGATGGATGAAATGAGTGCAACCTAAGCTAAGGCTCAACACATCAACAGGGTTGCGGTTGAGCTTCTATCATGTTTTACAGATCGGGGGACAGTCCAGAAAGTGATTGTCCTGCCCAGAGACGACTTACAGACAGAGGAGTTAGTCTTAGAGGAAGTAGAAGTCTTCAAGGTCAGTCTTCTGAACTTATTCAATTTACTTCTTCTCTCTCCATCCTCGGTCTCTGTCCTCTGCCATTGTTTGTTATCTGAGACATAAAAATAAGACACAAAATATTTCTTGTCTGCTCATTTAAAGCTGTCATTAACTGTTACTGCAGGTTCCCACGGCAATTACCACCATGAAGATTTCATCAAAACGGGTATGTTGTTTGTGGTTGGTAGTGGCTTTGACCAAAATGAAAATTATATAATTTTGGTAAAAATTGTCATCATTTACAACACAATGTGGTAATGCTTTACTTTACAGTTCTCATAGTTTCAGTGAATTCATAGGAAGGTTTTTGGAAAGGTCTGACATTTGGTGCTTATTATATGGAAAATGGACACAGTGTTAAAATGATTTACAGTTTACCATTTCAGTTATGCTTCAGCGTAGAAGTGGCGTTGAGCGGCCGTTTTTAAGTCACAGCTGAATGTGCGTAAATGTGGAATTTATCTTAAGGGAAAAATACTGTACATATAGCCTGGAGAGCAATGTTTCCAATGATGCACTACATTTTTCAGGAAAACAACTACTGCTTATAAATACAACACAAGTAACTAATGTCCTAAAACTTCTAGTTCCTTGCTTTTCCTTGCTTTTAATTTTTCTAGGAAAGCATTAAGACATTTCAAACCTGTATATTAAAGTAGTATCCAAACAGTTTATAACTGATTTTATTTTATGATCTTTACCTCTTTTTTTTATTTAATTTTTTTAACAGCAACAACTGTATGTGGGATCGGTCTTGGGGGTGACCCACCTGGCTCTCCATCGCTGTGATGTGTACGGTGAGGTCTGCGCTGACTGCTGTCTGGCCAGAGACCCGTACTGCGCCTGGGATGGCAAATCCTGCTCCAGATACTCTTCCTCACAGAAGAGGTGAGAATTAAGACAGTATACACTGGCATGCATTGGGTACGGTACTTGTTTGTGTCTGTTTAGAAGAATTTCATTCTTACTTTAGCACGTAATGTTTTCAAAATATGTTGAAGTAAAGCTTTTTATTTTTGATTGTTGATCTGACCCCTCTAGACGGAGCCGTCGGCAGGATGTCAAGTATGGCAACCCGATCCGCCAATGCAGAGGTTATAACTCCAACAGTGAGTATTAGGACATTAAGCCCAGACAGTACACACACAATTTGGGAACAAACATGAAAAATGGAAATAGTAATTTTGTTCAAATTATTATTTTACCTCTGGCTAGTTATTCTAATTCATTTCTTACCATCCATCCATCTATTTCATATAATTTCTCAGTAAATAATGCATCAAATATATTCTACATATTGTTTTATAGCCAATAAGAATACTCTGGAGACAGTTCAGTATGGGGTGGAGGGCAGCACTACGTTCCTGGAGTGCCAGGCCAGGACTCCTCATGTGTCTCTCAAGTGGCACCTGCAAAAGGAAAACAGTGACAGAAGAAGAGAGGTGAGCAAAGCTTTAACTGTAAAGCAGTTACGTTATTTCAAATGAATGAGTACTGTTTAAATTTAACTTTTAACATCTTCAAAATTACAGTTTTTGAATTGTCCTCTTAACTGCCCTTCTTTCCAGATTCGCTCAGAGGGCCGCGTCCTAAAAACAGAACAAGGTCTTTTGATCCGCTCACTGCAGTCCTCTGACAGCGGCATCTACCTGTGCACATCCACAGAGAAAAACTTCAAGCACACGCTCGTCAAACTGCAGCTTGTGGTCCTTTCCAGTCGCACGGTCAACAGCGTGTTGGTGGAAACGGGCAGTCCGGCCCTCCCTCCACTGCAGTCCAGTGCCTGGACTCCGAGCGCCGGTCAGTATAAAGACCTGCTGACCATCCTAAGCCAGCCGGAGATGGGCCTGATCAACCAGTACTGCCAGGATTACTGGCAGCTTGGAGACGTCAGCCCCGGGGACAACAAAGCCAAAAGCCTGAAGGAGCTGAAAGAACAGAAGAAGCCTCGCAACCGTCGGCATCATGATGAGGAAACAACTCCCGCTGAGACATGAAGAGCTGGACATACACCTCATCACACTCCCCCAGTCTACCTTTCCACACCACCTCCTAACACTGCAACCCTCCATTCAGGGGAATGACTCCAGTTAGAAAGATGAAATTATCTTAATGGACAAGACAGATACTGCAACCAAAAGCAACAGCATCAAACAGTTTCTATGTAACTGTTTGAAAAAAAAACACAATATTTATTGTAGGTTGTAAAAAGTAATTCTTTGTACCTACCTAGAAAACATGTTTTTTTGTGAATAGGTAAATTTGTGCAAATATTGTTGTATTATTGTTAGTGTTTATTACAATGTGTTATTATGTTGAGAATATCTTTATGTTTGGTGTTTTTGAGAAACTGCAACAATAACCGAGGACTTTGGGAGTATTCACAGACGGACATGTATTCAGAAAACTGTTACAGGCGACCATGTTGGATCACTTGACTGCTGGCAGTATTCAGTGTCTAAGCTGGAAGTCGAAACGCTGGTTCAGAGAAATTCTCGAATTTCCCTAAACTTCCTCACCAGAACTCTCAACTGTATATCGGGCAGTTTTGTTTCACTGCAAGATACGAGCTGTTGACAGAATGATCGCCGCATTTCTTGGGACACAGAAGAATAAAAGAAATGCCAACAGACTGCAAGCCGTGACAACATATCACGGTCAAACAGTCGCACGTTTAACGAAAGGCCCTCTGTGGCAGGTAAGACGCCTCTCCTTTAAAGTTTGTGGTCCAGCCTGGCCTCAAGTAATGATGTTACATCAACCACCCAAACTCTTCCAAAATCCGTTGCTGCCAAGTGTTTTGTTTATATGTGCATAACACATCTCAATGTTGTATCCTTAACAAACGTGATCTTTGTAATAAGCTGTGTTTTGGGGGAAAAGGGTCCTTTAACGGCACAAAAGTTGAAAATATAACATTGCCTTCTCTTTTCTCTTTTGAGATGAGAAATTCCAGCAGGCAGCTATTTGTGAGTTTGTGACAGTTTGTGATTTAAAAAAAAACAAAACAAAAAAAACATAAGACACAAAGCACCTTCTGTTGCCAAATCGGTAATCTTGATAAAACGGTAGATACTTCACATGTATCTGTGCAATATGCAGTATGTTCATATAAGGCAGAGCATGTAGTTTGTATGCTCAAAGGTTTTTTTGGCTCTCAATGAATCTAAAGGTTGCATTCCTGCCAGTTTCATGCTAAATATTGGTTTCTCTAAGTGAATAATTATCATTAATCATGTAAATGGTCTACGCTTCTATTAACTTACAGCCACAAATGGTTCTGTATTTTCTATAGCAGCTGGTTAACAACAGTCGGCTACGTTTGTCAATCCAATGCAGTGCTATGCTGCTATCGTATGTGCCACATACGTCGTATAAAAGTTCCATACAGTGAAACAAAAGTCACAACCACGAACACGCTGATCACCACTAAACCTGAAGAGAAACATGTACCAAAATCTTCAGAAGGTGGCTTTTCATTGTGCATGGCATGTACAGTGTAATGTATATGGTATTTGTCTAAAATGCTACGTTACTGTGGATGTCAGTGAATGTCTTTCTCGTTGTGGGAATATGAAAATACTATCCGTGCAAGAAAGATGCTGAAAGTACAGAAACGTCAGATTGTGCTTTTAGATTTCAATCTCTCTCTTTCTCTCTCTCTCTTTCTCTCGCTCTCTGTCTGTATGTCTCTTTTTTTCTCAAATTTGCATATATTTCAAACATGTGCATCTATTTTATTTTCTCTGTTTGGCAGACTTTGCTCTGGGTCATTGAGGTAAATTAGTGTATGATATAATGCACAGTTGGTGTTATTGTAATGTTAAAAAAAATACCATCTTTTCTTCCTCATCAATGTTGCTGACTAATAAATTAAAGCTCTATATTTTATAATAACAGAGATTCTGTTCTCTTTGCTACATAGTCTGAAGGGTTTGTTATGTGATATGTAACACACTGACTTCAGTGCTGTTTGTGATACTGATCCACAGTGTTGGAGGAAGCAAACAGACCCTCTACTAAAGTAGAAGTAGCATTACCACACTGTAAATACCCCATTACAAGTAAATGTCTTGCATTGTTACTTTATTTAAATAAAAGTATATAATTAATCAGCTAAATGTACTTGATTATCAAAGGTAAAAGTACACAATGCTGGAAAAATGGCTCATTTGAGTGATATACTGTACTATCCCATATTAGATCTTTTTTTTTATATTACAAACTTAGCTGATTAAGATGGTTGTTATTAAAACTTATATTCATTGTTCTATAACATTTGATCATGTTTTATAAACTCATCTGTTTTCTATTTTTACAGTAACCTACAGCTGTCATATTGACCTGAGGAAATGTAATGGACTATAAGTATAAAGTGACATGAAATGTAAATATTCAAGAAAAGTGCTCAAGTATTTGAGTAAATGTACTTAGTTACATTCCACCACCTGCTAATGACTCAGGAAGACTAAGGGAGGGAGTGCGGTAAAGTTAAAATGATATATTCTCAGAGCGTTTACAACAGACTGACGGTAAAGTTGCTGTAAGTGTTAGACAAACGTGCAATGCTAGCATACAGTTACTGCACACACATACATACATAATTGAAAGTGAGTAGATTAGGATCCTTAACCAGCTTCAGTTTGAGGTCAATGAGACCTGTCAGGTGAAACTGCAAAGCTCTTTAAGCGCTTCAGAGCTCACCCTTCAGTCTGCAGTATCTTATGAGAAATGTCAGTTTGTCTTCCTTAATTTTGGGACTGGCAGGTGAGGTCTTGGTTATTTATCTCAGTGACCCCATTTTGCTGAGTGCAGTCTTCTGTTTTAATCACTCTATTTGACCTCTTTGCAAAAATGGGAGTAAGTGTGGTCTTACGTTTACTCCCACTTCTGGTTTAATTTTATTTTGGTGCTGATGTGAGATGAATCTAGTTTGAATAACTGAGTTCCCAGCCACAGGCACACTCAACGCTCAGGACCAAGTTATTTAGCTTCACATGCTTCTCTTTTAAAGGCACCCACGAACAGCATAGAGAGATAAGCACTTGAGCCGATGTTCATCTTCCGCTGAGCGCAGCAAAGTCCCCCTAAATGTTAGATCACGCCTGCACTGATGTATGTCCGCTTCTCCTCACACCTTTGGCTCTGCCCTAAAACAATCCTGTCCTTGTGCTCCATTGGCCCTCCTCAGTCAGGTGGGCAAAGGATGCCCAAAATCCTCTCCTAAGACAGGAAAATACTCAAACATTCTCCAGTGTTTGCTGCGGCGCAGTTGACGGCACCGGTCAGGAAGGAAGGCGATCAGCTAGGACCTACTTCCATTTTTCCTGACACTTGGCTTTTGAGCAGAGGGGCCCAAGCCGGGAAAGAAGTAGGATGGGGGCTGGAGCGAGCGCCGAGGAGAAACACTCCAGAGAGCTGGAGAAGAAGATGAAAGAGGATGCCGACATTGATGCGAGAACCGTCAAGCTACTGCTGCTAGGTAAAGACGGTCAAGTTGGATACAATAACGGGAAACTTGGGTAACCCCCATGGTGACACATATTTAAGGGCCTCATAAGGCCCCATGGTGAGGCTATACTTGAAACCTTAAATCCAGTCTATGGGACATAATTGTAGCTGGTGCATTACTTTGTCTCTTGTAAAATATTGGTATACTCTTTATTTCTAAATTATCAACACAGACAGATCTTGTGTGACGTAACTGTGTTATGGATGGACCATTTTAATCTGAACAACCTTTAAAATGTATTTAATTTTATAGTTTAAAACCCCTTAAAAAGTTTGTTTATATTAACCGTGATGAAAACAAAAAGCATGTATGAGTAAACTAAAGGCTTAATTACCTGTGTCATTGAATTAGACACTTTAATAATCACTCAACTCAATCCCTTGTTAATCCTGAAACAAAGGGCTTAACCCTGAAGGACACGGATACGCTACTGCCCAACACAACCAGGGCCTGTGGCTGTAGCATTCAGATACAATAACCTGAATAGATCACAGGCACTATGTAATTAGTCAATAGAGGGGGGAGATTAGTATGCTCTTTTAATAAAAAATAAAAAAATGTTTACACCCAAATGTCTTGGTATTTTATAAAACAATGTTTGATTGTTTGGTACAGTTGGCATATTATACTGCTCTGAATATCTGTTGGGTTGTTTCAGATTGTTTCACACTCAGCTTAATCATCTAATGACAATGTAGGTCAGGGCCAGGGAAAGTTCCACCTGACATCAGCTTTGAACAAGATTAGACCTGAAGTAAGAAGTATTATGACCTGTTGCGATCCTCTATGCCATATGCCTGCAGTTAATATCATTAATATAACACACAACGTAAATGAAAGCACCAAAACTATAGTCATATTTTTTCGAAATCCTTATAAATGTGGACCATTTTGAAATAAAGTTTGGAATAAAAGCATAGATGTATTATTTATTGCAAATAACAAGATTTAATGTTTTTCTACTTGCATATAGGCGCTGGAGAATCAGGCAAAAGCACTATTGTCAAACAGATGAAGTAAGATATTTGACTTTTGCACCAAAGCAGTGTCTCATTTCCTGTCCAACAGACAGTAAATCACATACTAATGCTGTATTTTCCCCAATCAGAATTATCCACAAAGATGGTTACTCACTTGAAGAATGCTTGGAGTTCATTGTCATCATCTACAGCAACACCCTGCAGTCCATGATGGCCATTGTGAAGGCTATGAACACATTCAATATTAACTTTGGCCACGCTGATCAGCAGGTAACAGCTGAGAAAGACTTCAATGTGTTTCGCATAATTTGATTTCAGTTTATGTGAACCTGTCCACTTGCATCTGCCCTGCAGGATGATGCCAGGAAACTCATGCATCTTGCAGACACCATTGAGGAAGGCAGCATGCCTAAAGAGTTGGCGGACATCATTGTGCGCCTGTGGAAGGACTCTGGCATACAAGCGTGCTTTGACAGGGCCTCAGAGTACCAACTCAACGATTCTGCGGGATAGTAAGAAATCACACAAGCTGAGATTCAAAATGGTCCCATTTTTGTTTGTCATTGAATTACTTTCATCTCCCCCTCAGCTACCTGAATGACTTGGAGCGACTGGTCACACCAGGCTACGTGCCCACTGAGCAGGATGTGCTGCGATCAAGAGTGAAGACCACTGGTATCATCGAGACACAGTTTTCCTTAAAAGATCTCCATTTCAGGTCAATCAGTGCAGTATTTCTCAACAGAATGTTACCAAGTTACCAATAACTCATCATCGGTGCTGCCACTGTGCTGCCTTGCAAGATAAAATGTATGCTTCTGTTTCCATCTAGAATGTTTGATGTGGGTGGCCAAAGGTCAGAGAGGAAGAAGTGGATCCATTGTTTTGAAGGTGTGACTTGTATCATCTTCATTGCTGCTTTGAGCGCCTACGACATGGTGCTGGTGGAGGATGATGAAGTGGTATGATAACAGTATTCTATACAATCTGTCTCTTTTCTTTTTTTGGACAGTCAATAGCAAAGAAATTGTAAAATCACAAATCCTTTCTTTCAGAATCGAATGCACGAGAGTCTGCACTTGTTCAACAGTATCTGCAACCACCGCTACTTTGCCGCCACCTCCATTGTGCTCTTCCTCAACAAGAAAGATGTGTTCGTTGAGAAGATCAAGAAGGCTCATCTCAGCATGTGCTTCCCTGAATACGATGGTGAGGTTCATCAAATCACATACATGTAATTTGTCGCACATTTGAGGACTTTAAATAACGGTTTAATGTACCTCTTCATCTTGATTTCTTTCGCAAAGGCCCGAATACTTATGAGGACGCTGGTATCTATATCAAAATGCAGTTCTTGGACCTGAACCTGCGCCGAGACATCAAAGAAATCTACTCTCACATGACCTGTGCCACAGACACAGAGAACGTCAAGTTTGTGTTTGACGCCGTAACAGATATCATCATCAAAGAAAACCTGAAAGACTGCGGTCTTTTCTAAGAGCAGTGATGAGAAACCCAACGAAGGTGAGTAAAGTTTGCACTGTATTGTAATGATGATTCAGATTAAAACTTATAAAGTTTATAAAACCAGCTTATAAACCTTTCTTTTTATTTTACAGGGTGATGTTGTAGCCCTGTCACATTCCACAAATCCCCTCTCAATTCAAACTGAGGACCGAAGATGAAAACTATCCCCTCAAACCAACGAACACAAAAAAAAAAAAAAAACTGAGACCAGAAGACACCTCTTCAGTCAGAAAATCCTGTGCAGATTTCAGATGAGTTGAGTGTTAGTCAAGCTAACGTTTCTCATGAGTCTCTTGAACTCATCTTTTGGAGGGCTATGCAATCTGTAGTTAAGACATCAAACGCTTCAGGTGAGGAGTGATTTCTTCTCACATGGACTAATGTGAATAGATGTCAGGCTAATGCATCTTTGCTCAACTAACTGGTCAGCATACAGCCAAAAAGCAAACGAGAGGACCTCACCACCTGCAGAAGCACTTAAACCTGTTAGAGATTTTAAAGAAATTGTCACTAGAAATGGCTTTTATGTACAGAAACTCTGCAGCACAATTTGAGACACAATTCAAACAGTTAAGAAACGGAATTTTTAAGATTTAGAAAATGTCACTTTTTGCCATAGTTTAAAAGGGCCAGTGTAAATAATTAAACTGTTTTCTATTGGACAGTTCCTGAAGTGTGGCGATACCCTGTGGATCTGTACCACGGTAGAGTGATAGATGAACTTTAACTAAAGGCATTTGAGCCAACTATCCTGTACAGAAACAAATGTTTGTAAACCTTGACTAAACATATTAAAGCTTCTGTAGAAAACTGAGTACTTTCCCATTTTTCACCAATAAAAAAACAACACAGCAATGTCTTGTTCATAATCAGTTATTTAATATTTCTGGTTCTTTTTTTAGCATTATAAAACCACTCATGTTTAGAAGTAAACAGCCGTTACCTTAAATTTCTGACAGATTAAAGGCATAATTTGACATTTTGGGAAATACACGTATTTGCTTTCTTGCCCAAAGTCATGTGAGAAGATTGATACTTCTTTCATGTCTAAGGTAAATTTTAAGCTACAGCCACCATCTCTTTACAGCTGTAGCTTAGCTTAGCACAAACATTGGAAACGGAGGTAAACAGATAGCCTGGCTCTCTCCACCAAAATCTGCTTGCTATCATCTTAGAAGCTCACTGAATAACACATTCTTGTTCATTTCGTCTTTTTTTTTTAAGGTAGCCCTTTCCTCGTTTCCCGTTTTTTGTGCTAAGCTAACCTAGCCAGCTGCTGAGAGTGGATTACCATACAGGGAACCATTTCACCAAATTTGCGATAAGAGATAAATTCCTATCCACTTAGTTTTGATTAGTACAACAAACATTAACACCAAACTGCTGACAAGTGCATGAGCAGAGTCCTGCAGGACTTGCGTATTTATCTGCAATTTCTTGAACAAACTGCGTCCCAAAATGGCTCAAAACTCTTCTAAAGTGAATAAGCGTAATCCCCAAAATGTCACACTATTTCTTTGCAGATAATCTGAGACAAAGCGGTTGGGGTGATCATTCCTGTGGCCTGGAGCAGTTTAGACAAAACTTGAGACTATGAACAGCTGTCTCCCAAAGCTCAAGAAGATGCCGATGCTGTGATGTAATCGAGCCATGCGGCCTGAAGCTCTGCTGGGCTTTATAGACACTCGGGTTGTTTGGTAAAATATGAACCAGCCCAGAGGAGATACGTCAGTAGAGCTGTACACAAATCAAACATCACAGTTAAGGAGACATCACACAAGGTTTCTGTCTGTTTGGAACAATAATGAATATTCACAGTACAACTGTACTTCAGTTCAGTGCTGTTATTCTTTGACCTCAAACAACCAAGTTGGAAGATTTGCAATATAAATACCTAAGGCATTGTACACAACATTTCGAGAAAGTATGTTTTATGAAAGCATTCATTGATTTCACTTTTTCCTTTTTAACCCTGAGTTCTAACCACATGGCAATTAATTGGTATGATGGTGTGCAATTATGTGACAGAGAAACAGCAAATGGAAACCTCCATCTACTCTAAACAAGAATAAACTATGCAGGAGAGTCTGTGTACCAGTACATCTGACAGAAAAATGATGGAAAACAAACACGTTTCCACTCATTAACATTAAAAACAAATACGTTTTATGGCTTGTTTCGTCGTGTCTAAAAAGAAAGGAGCTTAATGTCATAATCAGTGTAAAACAGTACATACACATGGAATGACATCTATTGTGCAATATCGACAATGGCTTCAAAAAATAAAATGTTCTCCAGAAATAATATGCGCCGTTCCGCATCCAGAAAGTTCAAGAAGAATTGAAGGCACTTTAAAACAGCGAGTCGTCCTGAGCCTTTTTCTCACCGTCATTGTTTGTTAATGTGCAGCCCTTATTTAAAAGCACTGATATGGTCAAGTGAATCAACTGCGAAGAGGCACTAATCATCATGTTGCGAGAGATATTTTGTTTTTATAGGCTATACATTGTACGTGTGGCTAGATGGCACTGTTGCCAGTAACACATTATGATTCACAGCTCAGCTGTACAAATATCCATATACACACATACACATACACACATACACACACACACACACATACCTTAACCAACACACTGGTAATTCTAAAATCCAATTGCACAATCTCAATTCATCACGAAGCAAACGGTAACGAACTATGACTCCTCATTTTCCAGCACCTTTGTGGACCACATGCTCACCCACCGAAGAGCAAAGCACGCGCACAGACTTAAGTAATACAGCAAGTGATCAAGCTTCTTTCTCAGGTTTCCTTTAGTGTCAGTTTCCTGTCTGGATCCGGAGCAGCGGAACAGATGGGACGAGGATTTTGACCAACAGTGAATCCTTTTTAACCTCACTGCAGCCACACCTGGGGGGGGGGGGGGGGGGGTTACTGAAGGCCTTTCCATGCGTCGTCTCACTCAGAAAAGTCCCACCATGTGATCGATCTGCCTCATGTAGACACTCTTCAATGGCAGAGTGTACCGTCGCTCCTCTGGGATCCTGTTGCACTGTTAGAGAGAGAAAAGTAAGACAGAATGCATTTGATGGTGAGAGGTACATAATATGAGATTGGGAGCATTTCGATTGCCTCTCAACATGGCGGCGCTGTAGCCAGCAGCTCATAGCCAACGGTGCTAACATTACAATCTAAGGCAAACGTGCTGACAGCGCTAACAGTGTTTACCTGAGGGGAGGGGGGGGAGTGGAGAGGGGTACTACGCTTCAGCGACCACACTGTCGATGGGGTTATCAGCTGTAACCGGCATATGACAGCAGCGCAGCAAGGTGGCCGTGAGCTAACCAGTGGGGCACGCTCCCGTGCACTAAAAGCACACGCGGTGGGCCTGGCTATATACATAAAGCAAGGTGAAGCTCTGTTCTGATAGACATTACTCCACTATATCTTTACATTGCAAATCGTTTTTTGCTGCTATATTAATGCTCTAAATGTCGTATATTGCTCCTTGAAAATGCACAATATCATAAAATGTATTTTAAGATTATCATTCTTTTTTTAAATCACAACATAAGTTACATATGAGGCTGAAAACGAGGATGGTGGCCTTACATTGCTGATGTTGCTCTGTGGTGGTGGCCAGTTGTTTGGCTCTCGTTCTGCCAGCACTCCCTCTTCACAGGGAAACAAGTCGCTCCACTGCTTCTCCCTGAAGCGCTTGTCGATAGGCACAAGATGGCCCTCTGTAGTGAAGATGTACTTGTTGTCGGATTTGTGAAGTGGGTTGTCCTCATCAAACAGCTGCAATGCAAGAGAGACGTTTGGGATGAGTTGAGCCAAAAAGGGCCTGAACTGTATTCTGACGATGGCCCGGTGTTGCCAGCAAAATCAAATATGATTTTTCATTGATATTTTTGATTCCAGCTCGTCAAATGTGGGGATTTGCTGCTTTTATCTGGTTAATATAATTGAAAATCAAATACATCTGGGTACACAACTGCTTGTTTGAACAGAACAAGCAATTTGAGGATGCTGCCTTGAACTCTGGGAAAAATCTGGTTCCTGACATTTTCTAACAGCCATTCATTTAAAAAAAAAAAAAAAAATGAAATCATCTATAAATTAATCTAATAATGAATCTATAAATAAATACCCATGCATTCATTGCAGGAATATTTTAAAATACAAGAATATAGTGAAATTATGTTATAATGAACATTTGCTCAGCTAGAACAGTGTAGTTTGTGAAATTGTACCAGGTAATTTACTCCAAACTTTAAATCCAGGAAAAGAAAACATTTTGTCACTTGCAATAGCTTTTTTTACAACATTTCGAGAATCATATACTGTATAACAAAGCTCCATCTCTGGCATGCTCAAGCTGTTACTTACCAGGTAAAGGTATTTGCATGTCTCACTGAGGAAGAAGCTCTCCATGCGATCCTCTTTGGATTTGTCCACGACATGGTGGAGAGTGGCGTACCCACATCTGCAAATGAAAAGCTCAGCTCAGCTTACAGCATCAAATCATTGTAAAAATGACCGAAAAAGGGTATGTATTCCACATATATTAGTTATAAATATATTCCACACCTGACTTTGGTATTTTTCTCAAGGCTCTGAAGAATATCCATTCCAACATGCAAATAGAAAGGATTTTTTGTCGCCTGTGGGAAGGAAAATAACTCTTTAGTAAAAGATAACAAGCCACCACCACCAGTGCTGAGTTACAACAGGTCAGTACCTGGTACAGCAGGTAGGTCGACTCAGCCAGCTCTGGTCTCAAGGGGTAGAAGAGCACATCGGGAGCCTGCAGCTGCCAGTTGTATCTCTCTGGCAAAGCCCCAAAGCGCTTCCAGATGGCATAGTAGAAGGCGTGCAGGCAAATTGCATTATCGACGTCACCATTCAGCACCTAGTGCACAGAGCGGCAACACATAACTTTAGTTGAACGCAACAACACATATGTTACACTTGTTTATACGACCGGTCATGTGTGTGATCTAACCTGCAGCCCAGGAAAGAAGGCCTGAAGGGAGTCGATCCAGGTGTTCATTATCTCACCACTGAACATGTTCACATTAACATAAAGAGGTGGGTCACCCTCTCCTTCATTGCAGGACTCTCTCCTGGAAATACACAGAGGCAGAAGAGGGTTCACATTGGGACACACTACTAAGTTGAGTGCGTTTGCTTTTTTTTCCTCTCCCATCAACATCCAAATCTCTTTTCCTTTCTTTCTTTTTTTTGATACGGAAGCAACCACAGTGCACCTACTTCCTTCTGCTGTTTGCCAATGACCAGCTAAACTAAGATACTGTAGGTTGTGTCCCTTGCTCAAGGGCTATTCATTAGTGGTCACTAAGGCTGAAGAAAGCGTTACGTTTCTTCAGAATTCAGCTTTCCACATCCATCAGTTAGACAAACAATACTAGACGCCATCGCATGTTTTCTCTTTGTTTGGCCAATCCTTGCCAGAGACTATTTTGCACAGCTGAGATAATGTGAAGCTCATGTGAAGCTCCCAGTCCCACCCACTCTGTGTCACATTCTTTCAGTGTGGGACTCACCCTCTCCTCATGTGGCTCTGAATGCTCCCGTAGGCAGCTTGGAACATCCGGTGGTCCTCTATCTCACCAAACAGGATGTACGATTTGAGTAAATACTCATAGAAGGAGTCCATACCAGCTCCCAGACCGCTCTGTTTGCCAACCCACTGGCCTGTTTGGATATTAACTACATTCCCTAAAGATTTACAGAATAAATGCATTAAATTCTATGGTAATTGTAGGCATCATATCTACATGTTGAAGACTTAACCATGCTGAGTAGTAGCTTTAATAAAAACAACAACAACTCTTTTTATGCAACTACACAGCTGTACTTGCCCAACAGGCCGGTTTCGTTGCTCCTCAGGTTCCACAGAGCTCTGACAGCTCGCCTGGCCACCCACTCAAATGTTGAATCTCCAATCAAGCGGCTCAAAATCCCAAACTCCACCAGCAGGGACCCAGCTCCTGCAGTACACGTCTCATTGATGCTATCAGGAGGAACTCCAGTCTTCAGGTTCACCTGAATTTTAGATACAAATCAATAAAGATGCCGAGTGACATTTCAATCGTTACAGTAGGGTTTCCAGGAGGTCATGGAACTTCACTCACATGAGAACTACTTTAGGCTGTGCTCTGACTGTTTGAGTACCTTGTGTGTCTCTTAGCAGGCATCTGGTTTAATTTCTAACAGCCTCACTCACCCTGGGGTAAGGAATGCCTGTGCTGGTGTTCTCAAAGGCCGGCAGTAAGCGGACAGCCAAGTCATGAGCCAAGTGAAGCAGCTCATTATCGTAACCATCAAAGCCGACGTTGCCAAATGGATGTTTCGGGTCCGTCAGCAGGATGTGAGATGAGATAAGGCTTCCCAGGATCCTTCAAAAGAAAAAGGGAACATTACACTGGGGTTCTACACGGAAACAGGTTCTGAAACTAATGTTTGGAAGGCATTACGAATTATTTCTCAAGTAATTCAAAAGTCCAATTAAGTTGCTACAGACGCAATCATATCATGATCACAATCAAGATTATGAGCATGTTTTGTATCTACAGCAAGCTGGGACATTTCTTCTTGTGTATGACGCTGAAAATAGTGGCAACATTTTGTACCTGATGTTTGCCTCAAACACCTGCACCGTTGAGTCCTTGTCAAAAGATACGGTATCTATAACCAGCTTGACAGCCTTCTGGAACTCTGTCACGTTGCCGAGCACCTGTAGAGAAAAACCCAGATTATACTGCATCAACAATTTTATCTGGTAGCATAACTACCGAAAGGCTGCCAGGTATTTTGCTCAAATTCTATTTTATATCAATGTAGATAGCAACTATTGTGGAGAAGCTCCAGTTAAAACTTTGAGCCATTGAAAAGTTACAACTTCATAGAAGAGTCAGTGCATGTTTCTGAAAACTGCAACATGTTTATGCATAGAGATACTGTTGGTGCCTTTGGAGACACCCTGGAGTATTGGCTCCACCTGACTCCATGTCACTAGACGTTTTGACTGTGGCAGGAAGTGCTAACCACTGCTCCACCGCATGTTGTGCAAAACACTGCTTTTTACAAAACAGGTGATGTTAAGACCATGGGGGGGACTCACATTTTCTACCTCGTCAAATGGATTAAGCTGCTTTACAACCTGTTATTTAAAGTTAATGCCAATCAGTCTGTTAAATGTTATAATAAATCCTGCACAGATTCTATTTTTTGTATTTTCCACCTTCGTAGGAGCCATGAGGAAGAAGAGCTCTGCTGACTTTCGGGACATTGTATGACACAGGGACACAGCACAACTTACCAGTAGGGTGTCTAAGGTGTCAATCAGGGTGAGGGAGTAGTTCCCCAAGGCGTCGTTTATGTTGATGTTTGACCTGAAATGAAAGCAGTGAAACAGACTCAGTGGTCCATCCATCCATCCATTTTCCTCCGTTTATCCGGGTTCGGGTCGCGGTGGCAACAGGCCAAGCAGGCTGACCCAGACCTCCCTCTCACCGGCAACATGTTCCAGCTCATTCTGTGGGATCCCGAGGCGTTCCCAGGCCAGCTGGGAAATGTAATCCCTCCAGCGTGTTCTGGGTCTTCCCCGGGGTCTCTTCCCAGTTGGACGTGCCTGGAAAACCTCCAGTGGGAGGCGTCCAGGAGGCATCCTAATTAGATGCCCGAACCACCTCAGCTGACTCCTTTCGACGCAAAGGAGTTGCGGCTCGACTCCAAGCTCCCTCCTGATGACCGAGCTCCTTACCCTATCTCTAAGGCTGAGCCCGGCCACCCTACGGAGGAAGTTCATTTCGGCCGCTTGTAGCCGCAACCTTGTCCTTTCGGTCACGACCCAGAGTTCGTGACCATAGGTGAGGGTAGGAACGTAGACCGAGTGGTAAATTGAGAGCTTTGCCTTCCGGCTCAGCTCCCTCTTCACCAAGACGGTCCGGTGCAGCGCCTGCTTTACTGCTGCAGCTGCACCGATCCGTCTGTCGATCTCCCGCTCCATCTTACCCTCACTCGTGATCAAGACCCCGAGATACTTGAACTCCTTCGCTTGAGGTAGGCACTCCGTCCCCACCTGGAGGGAGGGACTCAGTGGTGTCATTGCAAAAGAGCGAGAAGGAATTAACAGATCACAATAGAGAGAATATTTTAAATCCAACAACAAAGTGTTGGACTTAGACTGTTTGGATGTGAATGCAGAACAACAGAAACATACCAGGTTAACACAAATATGTGGATTTCCTTTTTGAATAGTCTGACATCACACAACAATTTAGAATATTAACACAATCACTAAAGTTGATCTGAAGATAAAGGGCGGTTATTCTCCCTCGCTACATCGTTATTATCAGTACAGGCTCACTGCAACTAATAGTTATATCCATTATCAGTTAATCTTACGATTATTTTCTCTATTATTTGATCATTAGATCTATATAAACGTAAAAAAAAAAAAAAGAAACAACTGTATATCCTAAAGCCCAAAGTTACTTATTTTGCTTGACCAACTGTCCAAAACCAAAATATATTAAATATTAAGTGGAAAGCAGGAAATCCTTGCAATTGAGAAGCTAGAATTGGGGAATGTAAAACATTTACCATATCTTAACCTCAGTTGCCTTTTATTTTTTGTCTTTGACACGTTCCATGCAATGAGTGCGTTAGTATCCCTTTCTATAGAAACCGTTGACCCTGAAAGTGTGAGATAACAATGTGGGGAGTGAAACTTTTGATTTGATATTTTAGTGTAATTCTAGTCTTTCTGTTTCAGTGTGCAGCACAGGGGAATAACATGCACAGGTGTTTCATGTTTACTGTTACACACTGAAACAACTGTACTCCCCTGAGCGCAACATAAGAACTGGGTATTTGGGTATGCAAACACATCTTATGCTTTCTGGATTTCCTTCTGCCCTTTTATGTCATTAGTTGAGTGTGATGCTTTTAAAATTAATCTAAGATTATTTGGCCAGTAAATTAATTAATTTCTTTAACAAAAAAAAGCCAAATATTTACTATTACCAGCTTGTCAAATCTTAATATTTTGCTGGTTTTCTTAGACTTTTATGATGAACGGTTTATCCTTAGGTGTCGGACTTTTGTTTGTACCAACCAAGCGATTGGAAGAGGTCACCTAGAGGGATCTAATGTGATGGGCAGGTCTCACTTTTTTCTGGCATTTAATAGACCAAACAATGAACTGATAAAATATGCAGCAGATTATTAATAACATAATCGTTAGTAGCAGCCCTAGTGTCTTTTTTCTCTACCTTCATTAGATTTCATATTTCCACAAAGTCTAATCCTAATCTCAAATGAATGAGGTGATGAAGACATTAAACAGCTCCTTAATGTGACAGAAACCCCCTTAGACCCGCCTCCACGACCTTTTTAGGGATCCCAGTTTACTGTACTGTCCAATGCAAAGGTGTCTGAATGGTAACCTGTTCATTACTGAGCAGCAGCGGGCAGCACAGAGCGGCACCAGGCTAATATGATTATAAAGTACATGCAAATAGTCTGCAGAGGACAGTTAGGATGTAACAGACTGTCTGTCCTGCAGCGTCCTGTACGTCGGATGGAACCACCACCACCAACAGCACAGCAATGAATACACGTGTATTAAAGAAAACATGAACCTGCCGGTGCAGATAAATCAGGACAGCTTTGAATGACTCACGGGTTCAGCACGTCTGGTCCCCTCCCCTCACAGTCAATGGGATTCAGTTCGTCCTCGGGAAAGGCATATTTCATGTAATTATCATATCCGAAATAAAACATTTCTTTGGCCATGTCCTTCATTTTTGCTTTCAGTTTGTCCGGGAAGAAGCTGTACTTCCGGACGTACTCGTCCTGGTTGCCATCGAAGAAGCTCAGGTAGGACCTCTTGGGTGACGCCTCTGCAACCTTTGCACAGGTGGTCGCCGCCTCTTCATGTCTGTGGCCGGGTATCCGTTGAGACCACGAGTTACCCCTCGGATCGGTTCCCTTCTCGTCCCTGAATAACAAGTCTAATTTGTGCAAACTGAAACTAAGTGGGAAGTTGAACCCCAAGCTGACGTTAGGTCCGAGCCCGAACGCTAGCCACAGCACACAGCTGAGAGAGAGTCTCAATACGACCAGACCGACTACTAATGACCTCCATTGCATATTTGCCCCGGCTCGATCTTTAAACGCATAATTTAAGTCCACACAAGTCTGAGGGATGCACGACTGTGAGGTCCTCTGTGTGTCAGGCTGAACTACACGAACAGAAGGCTGCGGTGATTCCACCACCCAGCACGCTTCCTGTCAACAGACCAGCCCCTCCCAGATCCTGAGCTGTGATTGGCTCTTCCTTTGTGTCGTCACGCAAAAAAACGAAGCGAGCTCGTCCTGCGATTGGCGGCAGAGCTGTGAATCACTTGGTTGCGTTTCGTGGCAGTCCTGACGTGTCGCAATTCAACTTCTGCGCCAATAGAAAACAGCCACAAGAGTGAGACGTTCAGGGGCAGAGCTTTAAAAACGGAATGCTTAGGTTCATGGTTTAGTTTAGTTTAGATGGATGATAAGTGTCGCCGAGGGATATACATTCATATACCAGTATATCGGTACTAAGCACTTGCACATGCGTAGATAGTCTCATGAGCTCTCAGGGCCATCATATCAAACTCGGCATGGCTCTAACCGACCTCTACCTTAGCAGTGGTGCTCATTTTTAAAATGTGGTGTAGCTACAAATTGTATTTGCATTTCCTCCCCCCCCAACACTTGACTCTGTAAAAAGATATTCTCACAATAATTGTATCATACTCGGCTTACTGTATTAAAAGTGTCCATACACCTCTATAGTGATGTTTTAAAGTGTGTGAATGAATAGCAGGACAATGTCTTAATTAAAAAGCATGCCTTTTTATTATTTGAATATACTGAAGTTGTGTTTTTATTTTTATTTTTTATTCTTCCCAGGTAGGCACACCTTGCATGCTGCTTTGCTTCAGAGGTGAGAGACATTGCACAAGGCACTTTGAATTCTGCCACTCTCTCAGCTTCGAGGCAGCACAAACATCCTTACAAACAGAGGCCAATATGTACCACACAACTCCGTACAGCTTTTCTTTTGGTACATTCAGACTTTAAATAGAATCATATATCCATACACGCACATCGCACATCAGTAAAAATCATACTAGCTTGATATTTGTACAGACTAAATGCACAGTTGTCTAAAACATTTTCACGAAAGAAGAAAACCTGATCAAGCGAAGGGTGACGGTCATCAAAGACTATCACGGAGCAGAACTCGATAGCAGACTGTGTAAATAACACTTCTCGTTGTGTGAGGCCTGTTTGAAAATATCAAACTTCCTTCAAGACGGCGTTGTTGTACACCTACTTAGCATTATAAAAAAACACTGGGTATAATCAACCGGGTAATGCCTAAATGGTAGACCGAAATTATGTTCCGACTCTAAGTTAAAGAACAGCTTTACAGGACGAATAATGCCAACAAGAATTTCTTAAATTTGGTTTCAGAGTCACATCTTTAGTAGTGCATTATCAGGGTTTGTGAAAGAAGCACAAGGTGAAAATGGGGCAAAATACATGTGTGCCACGAGCAGAACAGAGCAGCATGTGAGTAGAAGTGTGAGTTGGGGTGGAGGAGAGGGGTGGGGTGGGGGCATGACAATAACATGAACAACAACTCCATTTTCAGCTCCTCCTAGATTTTGAGTGCTGGATGAGCCACTGAAGTGTGATGTCTGCAATCAAAGAAACATGCTGGGTCAGTCTGAGGATCGGTTTATGATTCAGGCATTTCTAACTCACTAGCAACACAAGTAGTAAACTGCTACACGGAACCCCATTAACTACTATCATAATCTTATTTAGTGCGTGACATAATGATTTCTCTCACTTATACTGCACGAAACACAAGGGTGTAGGTTTACAATGAAACCTGATGTTTTAAAAACATACAAAAGTAAAAGAAACAAATCAATTAATCTAAGAAATTGTTAATCACATGAATTGTGTAAATTGTTGCTTTATTAATGTACTAACCAAATTAATATCATGCTTAGTTTCCTTAACTGAGCCCTTTGAGTCATTAATTGCAACTCACCAATGTTGTCTTTCTCTTTGCAGGAAATGGAGTAGCAGCATATCTCTCTGTCCTGAATAGCTGCCAGATTCCTTTAAAAGGGAAAATAAGGTACATGAATGAACACATAAGAGAAGTATTCAGGCTGATCATCAATCCCACTCATCTGCAGCTTGTGGGCCAGAGTTTATGAGCACAAATGTTTCTAACCCGACAGCAGAGGGAGCCAGTTCCTTTCAGTAAACAACTATAACTTGACACGGCTCCAGTTATTAAAAAAAAAAAAAGGAATTAAACAACAAATTGTTCTAATTTTTATTATTTTTATCTTTAGCATAAAGGTGGATTAACTGATATGGGATTAAAAAAGAAAACCAAATATAAGAAGAAAGTTTTGATATGTATAGACAAGACCTAGTTTAAATATCTAATTATTCCTCCAGTAAACCTTTAAACAAGAATAAATAGGGCCATTTTAATGACATTAAGAGTCTACAGTGCACTGATTTACATTAAAAAAAGAACAGATATGGGAATTCAGCTGAGATTAAATTGAATACGTTACGGTCTTTGAACTATCTTTCATACTTACATTTTCTCAATGAGCTGCTTTTCATCTAGAGCACTGGGAATATCCCTTTTGTTACCGAGCACCAAAACCTAAAAAAAAAGTTTTTTTAAATCAATTGAAATCTGCAACTGCAGCAAGTAATCACTAGCAGAACCCACGCACAGTTTTGCAAGACTGGTACAGAAATTACACTTACAGGAATTCCTTGCAACTGAGGTTTGTCTAATAAATTGTGAAGCTCGTTTCTAGAAGCCTCCACCTTTTCTTGATCTGCTGCGTCAACCATGTACCTAAGAATGAGCAACAACGAAAGTATTAGTTCGATGTGTTTTACATACATTTACAGTATACGTCCAGTTCAACACAGGGCGCTTATTCGATTTGTTCTCATTCGTTTTTTCAGACAAACCTGAGAATCGAAACCGAGATACTCACACGATTGAATTAACTCCCCGACAGTAGCGCTCCCACATGCTCCTGAACCTCGGCTGCCCTCCTATATCCCAGATCTACATGTACAGAATGAATGAATAATTATCACCTCCTTGTAAAAGCAGTGTGCTGGTTTCATTTCATTAGTAACAGTTAAACTGTGACAACAGCAGGAGGATTTAAATACCTTGATGGTGACGTTTCCTTTAGTGACCTTCCTCATATTGAACCCGACTGTAGGAATCATGTCTTCACTGAAATGCCCGGACTGAAAGGAAATACACAAGTATAAGTCATTTCTTATAAAACTGTATGAGTTTTGATTCTCCCTGCAGAGAGCATGTGTGGGGTGGGATAGCATAGATAGAAAACAGTAGGAGTCGTATGTATAGCTGTGTGTGATTATTTGATCTAATATAATATAATTACGACAAGCTGCTTGGGATCTCTTGCACTTTTACAGTTTCACATACTTTTAGTAGCTTGAAGTCTAATACTACTCACTATACAGTATTCAAGATTTAAATGGACTACGAAAAAAGTAATATATGCTGCAATATATGACTAAAAACCTAGTTTACTATATCCAATCCTGTGATAAGGCAGAGACTGGTATCTGTGAAAAGCAAAAATGTTCTCTTAAAACTAAGACAACAAACTGATTAGGCCTAAATAATGTTTCACCGAAATGACCAACAAGCCAAACCCTATATCTCCACATGCTCCAGCTTTTGTGAGTGCTGATTAATGCAAACAGAAGTGAGCAGAAAACTCAACCTCGGCATACAGAATCAGTGGCATTCCCCCTTTAACATCAAAATTCACAAGCTGCGTCTATTCCTTCTCGCCCCCCCCCCCTCCTTAAACCCGCGATCATGCACATTACAGTTATTTAGCAGACGCTTTTATCCAAAGCGACTTACAATAAGTGTATTCAACATAGGTATTCAAGAGAACTACTAGTCACCAGAAGTCATAAGTGCATCTCCTTGTTTACACAAGCATCTAAGAGCATAAACCACAGCAAAAGGACAGTGCAGAAACACACTAATAAAATGCAATAAGTGCTAAGTGGAAGGCTCTGGGTAGTACTTCTGCACCTTCTGCTGAACGCACTCCTCACATCACATGACCTGCAGGAGTCAGCTGATGAAGCTAAGTGGAAGTGAGTACAGCAGTCTTATGACTGGGAAGGAGGATCCACCCCCGCAACAAACATTCATGCACTCCTTTGTGTCACTGGCTGGCAGAGCATTTTGTTTTCCAGCAGTGTGAGAAGGAAGGATAAGGATAGCATTGAGTTACCCAACTTCCTCCTGAGGCACCAGTCCTGTTACCTGACACCCAGAGTGCACATTTAACAAACTGTGAACTTTTAGAAGACATCATCTTCTCTAAAATATACACTCGGTGGTTTGCTTTCTCCTGAACAACACTTACATCAACGTTCGTAGTAAGAGCTTCTCTGGTAAAAGTGACACCAGTTTCTGAGCAGATTGTACTTTTTATATTTTCATTGGAATTCTGTGTTTGAAAAAAAAAAAAATGGCTGTCAATCTTTTAACGCCAAAGGTGACGTCTTCAAATGGCTTGTTTTGTCCCACCAGCAGTTCAAAACATAAATATATTCAGTATATAAAGATATGAAACACATTTATCAACAAAATTGCTGCAGTAATTATTTCTCTACCACTTGATTAATCAATTCATCGTTTCATTGCTTCAGCTCTATTTTGAGATATGTATCAAATTGAACCAAAACTTAAAACCCTGTCAATCCAGTTACAAAGACCTTTTAAAACTGTGTGTACTTTGTTTAAGTACTGAAATCGCACAGATTAAAAAAGCTCAACAGATCAGGACAGACCTCCATAGTCTCAAGAGAAACTTTACAAAAGAAAAATACATCTGTGCAAAATGTCATGACAGCCACCACAACTGCAAACTGACTAACAACTCCAGACATGAAACTTAAGCTTACTTTTTCACAACATGCTGTTACAAACTCAGTGGCTGTCCAGTGATTATCTAATGAAACATTGCTCCACCAGAAAAACACCAGTTTTGAGAAATCTCAAAGTTGCAAAAAGTTGCACAAGAGAAATGGCTTTCATTTAAAAAAAACATTGCTCTTCAGCCTCAATCACAGGAAGTTAACACCAAAAGACACAATCTGTGTGTGTGTAACTTTATCACAAATTGAACAAAGCATCCATTTGTGTTTATATTAAATGCTACATTTAACTGTTTTATGTCACTGGTCACCTGAATTCAGGCATCAACACCAACAATGACCGAGGCACAGATCTTCTTTTGTAAATATGTGACCAAAAATAATTGATGCACAAAATTAAAAATAGCTGAGCCAGTCTGTATTCAGTCAGTGAGGCAGCTCCTTTGTAACTGGCTCCTAAAATCTTGAGAATAATTAGATAATTTTGTTTTGGAGTGTCAGTTTAAACTTGTTCAGGACACCTGTGTTCACGACGAGGCCGATGTGTGATCAGTTGTTGTTGGTCAACATGTTTTTATGTTAACTTCCTGCTGGCTCTCAGCTCTGTGTATAATGATCCCACAGTTTGGTAGAGATAACTAAGCTAATATGTGCATGCTGCGTTTAGGTTTAGCATGCTAAACAATCATAACACAGTAAGAACTAGCCGACCAGGATCCACCAGTTAGCTCAGCTGACTAGTTGACGCAGGTCCAACAACTGACTGGGTTTCATGTTTGTTTTAATGGACGCTGCTGTCCCAACAGAGTAACGTTACATTGTTTTAGTGTGAAGCAAAGACCTAGTTAGCTTAACTCTTATCGCATTATTAGCGCTAATAGTATTAGCATTACCCAGAGCAAGGTAGCTAGCAGCTGAAGACTTACAGCGATCACGTTTACAAATGTTGTTTTTCCCGAATACTGGAGACCGACCAGCGTCAACTCCATCTCCTCCTTCCAAAACAGAGCCTTGAACCAGTCCAAAAGCCGGTTAACTAGTGCCAGCATCTTGAGGTCGGGTGTTCACGCTCCCCTGTGGTTGTGTCTGTCTTCTCCCTCCCTGTCAGATGTGGCGTTTTCCCAGCGAGGAAGGGAAGTGGGACGCAGGCAGCAGCTGTCATATGATCAGTCTGCAGAAACGCGCCCGACAGCGCCCCCGCTGGAGCATGTAGGAAGTACATCCAATAGCAAACGCCACCTAAAGACTGTTAAGATTTATTTTAATTAAAATAAGACTTTTTACTCAACAAAAATCTGCTCCCCTGAATATTATACCAGGATCCGCATTCTTCTTTTTTTATTGAAATAACATGTCAAGAGAGAAAAGTACACATACGGTCACACCTTTCGTGTAGGGCTACTGCTGTCCCATCATGAATACATATATTAATAACACAACAAACACACTGACACAAGGGGGAGAAATTTACAATACAGTACATACACATAAGTAATTCCTGCCAGTCCGTGGCAACAAACTACAGGGCCACCAATATGTGCTATCCTTTGGTGTATATGTTCCCAAATGTTTGTTGGTTTGTTTGTTTTTCCATCAGTCACTTTTTAAGAAACTAAAATATAATAATGATCTCAAAATAATCAAAAAGTATAACCGTAAACCTTTTGGTTAGTCATTATTTACATCAAATAAGGCAAAACAACAATTCTCATCCAAAACACTGAATGTAGGACTTAGCACAGACATGTCAAACTCAAGGCCCGCGGGCCGAATCCGGCCCGCCACCTCATTTTATGTGGCCCGCGAATCCACCAGCAAAAAAAAAAAATTAACAGTTAGACTTGAAAATAAAATTATCCCCATGGTCGAAATTATGAGATAGAAAGTTGAAATTATGAGATAGCATGTTGTCTGTGTACCGACATTAAAACTATCACAACAGGTGGACAGGAGAGGGAACAAAGCGGTTAAAGCGGTTTTCCAACAAGTGATTGAGTTGAAAATGATGACAAATAATCCCAAAATGTCCACGAAGACAAAAATTGATGCAGAGGGAAGAAAATGAAAGATGTGAAAGCGAATACATGTTTGTGCTTCAATGAGAAAAAACGGTCTGTCTTCTGTGTTATGATGCGTGTCGGTGATGAAGGAATACAATTTATGTTGCATTTTAACACCAAACACGGAGCTAAATTTAGCCTCCAAGAAAAACATAAAATTGTCCAAGAATTAAAAGGCAGACTGCAATCACAGCAGAATATATTTACAAAAGCTACAGCCCAGTGCATGCTTAGAAGTATGTGAGCAGGTGTGCGCCGACCAGATACAGACTTTTACAAATGTCAGTTTGTGAAGAAACACCATCGCAGACCGAGTTCAGGAACTAGCAGCAATCTAACAACACAGCTAGCTAAGAGATGAGCAGGTACTCGTCTTCTTCATTAGCTGTTGATGAAAGCACAGACAACGCGGACACAGCGCATCTATCAATGTTCATAAGAGGCTCAAGGCAGACTTGACCGTCAGTGAGGAGCTCTTGGATGTAGCTGCCATGCACGGGACGATGGCGGGGAGGGACATTAGTGATGCAGAGAGATGATAAAAATAGCTTTGAACAAAGTTAATGTAATAACTTGGGCTTGATGATATTTGTCTTTGTTATTTCCTCAAAAGTTTGATCTTTGATAGAGTAATGTGGGTTTCTTAACCCTAAATTATAATAACAGAAATGTGCTTAAATGTAATTTTACATTAATATAACTGCATGTACAATCTTTTTACACTTGAATAAACAATAATTAAATGCAGAGACAGTTATTTAAGAATATGTTAGGGAGTAGTTACAGTTATACAGTCTTACAGTTACAACCGGCCCTTTGAGGGAAACATGATGCTGATGTGGCCCGGGGTGAAAATTAGTTTGACACCCCTGACGTAGCACGTCTAAAATGATATGTTTTCAAACTTTACTCATTAAACCTTCATATGTTGGTCAGACAAATGCTGATCTTTAACTTTCTGCTGGAGATCGAACCAGGGACCTTTCATTCACACGTGTGCATCTCTGCCCTTAACAGGTTTCTCTATATTTAAATGTGTGCTGATAGCAAGCGAGATGCTTTGTACCATTATATTAATATCACTATAGTGAACAGACTCATCATGTCATCTTACACTTGTTATCAACAAGTGGTGACTTTTTACAGATGCAGAAAGCCCAAACTGTTGCTCTTCTTTAATTCATCCTGCACGATAAACTCGAGCCCACTCTCCTCCTTCGACAGGTGAAAGTCACTGGCATTGGTGGAGACTGCTTCCGTGGGATTATTATCTGGATTAGAGAATAAATACAAACAAAATATTTTAAAATCAGTAGCATCATCACATTGCAGTCATGTCATAATATTGTGTGTGTGTGTGTATATTTCCATTAAGGCCCACTTACATGCTTTGTGCTTCCTCAGGCTCTTTATACAGGCATAAGATAGAAACACAAGGAGGGTGAGAGAAAGCAAAACAAAGCCGATGCCAAGGATCAGATGAATGGGGTCTCTTCCTTCTCTGTGCGTCTCTGGTGAAACATCAAGTCAAGTTAGTTCAACTCAGCTTCATTGTCATTTTGTATTTGTGTAACAGAACAGCAAAAACATTTATTTTGCTTCCACTTACTGCAGACATTCTCTTTCACATCAAAATATGTGTTATCAGGGCATGAAGGCAGAGGCTCACACGTATATGAATACTTTATCAACCCGACACCCAAGGTACTCTCTGCAAAGACAGACAGACAGACACAAACGTGAGTCCACCACCATTCAATCAAAAAGTGATCTTCTTTATTTATGCAATATTTTAACAAATTTGATCCAGACTGAACTACTGTCAACAACTTGGATTGCCATGAAGTTTTGTACAGACAATCGAAATGCCTCGAGGATGAAATCTAACGTCTCCTTGATATTTTCTCTATCGCCACCATGAGGTTGACATTTGCATTTCTTTGGGAAATATTTTAAAACTTATGACATTCCCATCCGCCTCAGCTGTACTTTGTGTTAAGTGCTAGATAGCACGTGTTAGCATGCTAAAATGCTAAACCAAGATGGTGTACATGGTAAACATTATATTCAGCCTGTTAGCATTGTCATTGGGAACATGTTAGCATGCTGACATTATCATTTAACTCAGAGCACTGCTGAGGAGCCTCACAGAGCTCCAGCACGGCAGACTCTTGTTCAGGTCAAACCACAGCTGGCATGATGGTGTAAGAGTCTTGTGATGTTTAGTAGGCTATGTTCTTGTCTTCCCCTTATCAAAAAGGTCATCTTTGAGTTTGACGTCTGATCAAAGAACGAAAACATATGCCAGTCAGCACTGCTTGCATTTCCTGAGATTTCATGTGGTAAACACTGGCAAACATCTCGACACTGAGCTTCCGGGACATTGTTAGTTTGCTCTCCTTTTATTCACTTGAAGTACAAAAGGGGCCACATCAACACTTTGAATGACAGATGTGATAGCAATTTGGGAAACCTCCCCAATTGTGTGTGTGAACTGAGATATTAAGATATTTCAAATGATTGCATGAATACTCAAAATACATTCAGTTGTATCAATTATAAATGATGTGGTCTTGAAATTATCAAGTGAAAAAAGTGGAGTGAGTGCATTCCAACCTACATAATGGCTGTCTTACCCATTTGCACACCTTGACAGCCCCTGACATGACACCCACAAAAAAACAATATACAGTAATTGACATCTTCAAACCAGTTTTGTCCCAGCAGCAATTCATTTAATAACCATAACGCATTTACTTGTTGAAAAAAAAAGTACACTCTCACCTGTCCTCTTCAGTTTCTCCCCCGTAACGCATTTGTTTTCCTCACACTTTGAGCAGATATTGTTAGAGCACAAGAAACCAGAGCGGCACGAGCAGTTTGCATTTGTGGTTGGTGTACATTTCTCAGCATTATCTGTAAACAGACAAGAAATCAAACCACAGGACTTCTAGGTGATGATAACAGTGTTTTGTCTTGATATAAATGTATTGGCTACATCAACTTGCTGTTTCAGAGATCCACCAAGAGCAGGAATATCGGGGTTTTTTTCTAATTCACAATATTTACCACGAATTACAGTCTTACCTTGTTGGCACGACCGACATTCCTGACATCTGTCAAGCAAGTGATGTTGGTCCGAGAAGTAGCCATCTTCACAGGGGATACAGACAGATTGCTGCTTTGAGCAAACACTCTTCCGATGCGTACCTTCAAAATAAGAAACAGATTAAAACAGTCACTCTCAAGAATATGGATAACATCCACACACTTACATGAAACAGTTTGACAGATTTCTATGAAATACAGTCAATCTTATTTTAAAGATTAATTATATGTGTGTCTTACCTGGGGGACACAGGTCACAGCATTGCCCATCTACCAGATACTGTCTATCACCACAGCCTGCAGCTATAGTCCAGATACTCAATACACACATTACTGCCAGGGAAAGGCTCAGAGGAACCATTATGACCAGTCCTCTGCTCGTAGCTTCAGGGTTTTATCGTGGCTGTTTGGTGACGTCAGAGTGGGTTGTGAGTGTGGTTAGTTTGCCGAGAGACATTGTGTGAGACATCTAATTCAGGAAGTGAAAGACCACTTGATTTAACAATAGTATGAACTGAATGGAACAATTATTTAGTTTATTCTGCTCTTTAGTTTGTTGTTTTTTTTAACTGAAGATATCCCTTGGGATTTTATTTAAATGTTTAGTTTTATTTCATATATCCAAGACAGGGCTATTTAGCTTGGCTTTAGGAGGTCAGCCAGGTGTTTGTTCATCAAAAGCAGAGTGCATATGTAGCATAGAGGTGGAACAGATTTATAAAGACAAAACAGAGACATCGGCATGTCTTCACTATTATTGATCTGCCTTCTAGATGATTTCCTATAAAGGATGTGTTGGTGTTGGAAGTGTTGTTTCAGGATTTGTCACGTCAAAAACTTCCACAGAAACTGTAGATAAGGCAGTTTAATCACCTTCTACTCATTTGAGGAAACATTAACAAACTCAGAGAAACATTTACAAACTCTATGATGAGTAGCTGTACATGGCTCGGCTCATATCTCATGTGTTCCCATTGTTAAAGAATGGTTGACATTAAGAAGCCATGACACTCAACCATAAGCAATTGCAATATTCTGAATATGACTTAGTTTGGTTTCTGGAAAACCCGAAGCCTACAGGGTAACAGCAAAAGCAACCTGCATAATATAATTTTATGTAAAACGAGTCCCTGCAGTAAATTCTGTCTTTATACCACCTGTTAGCCTACTAAATTCCTTTGCATAAAGGGTTTCCTTGACCTTTCAGCAGCATCCCCAACAACCACAGGATTACGATAAGGGGTAGAACAAATGATCAAATATTTGTAGTTGAATAACATTTTAGAGAGTCACATGCTGTGAGTATGTCAAAGATGTTAACCCAGTGTGAATCTCTTTTTCAGGCTTATCAAAAGCCCTAGATTACATTTTTAAAAAGTGTGAAACATGGTTATGATTGGGGGGTTTTGTTGGTTTGCAGTTCATTGTGCGGTGTTCAGCACTCCTATATGTGCAGCAGGTAAACATCTGATTTTGCTTGGTGGTTATGTAGCTTCTAAGATGCAGGTGTGGAAATGCATTATGATTCGTAAAGAATTGACTGCTGTCAACCTGTAGTTTGTTTGGGTTTGTTGACATTTGGTGCAGAATGAGGGAGTTTCCTGGCAAATGCAACACACTGTTGAGTAGTGCTGAAATGACTTGTAAGTCAAATTGACAGAAATTCAATCATCAACAATTTGGAAATTGATTAAATGTTTGTTTCAGTTATGAACTATCAAGCAAACATACCAAACATTTGCTGACCCTGATTTGTCAAAGTTTGGGGATTGGTTGTTTTTTTCTCTGTAATATCATTGTAAATTGATCTTGGTTGATTACACGAAACAAGCAATCTGGAGACATTATCTTGAGCTCCTGTTATGTAAAAAAAAAAGCAATATACCACATTATTAAACAAGTAATCATAAAATATTTAACAGACTTATCTATAATAAAAAACAATCATTTGAGCTTTATCCAGGAGTTGTGGACTCCAGGGTCACTCTGAAAGCTTGCTTAAGTGAGTGATTAATATTGATGCCTGACTTGTGGTCCTGTACATTTTTGACGGGAGAGTCTGATGTTTGCTGTGGTCTTCATTTGCATAGATTTTGTGTGGTGTGCTTCATTCTGGGTGTGGTCATGTTGATGAGAGGATATTTCAATATTTCCAAAAAAAACTCTCCCGCAAACTTAATGCTGGTGTGCCATTGGTTAAGCTACTACGTGGCACCATTGGTAACCCCTGCCTTAGCTGAGGGTACAATGTACAGTATCGTACATTGTAACATCCTGAAACCTCAGTCAGGATGTGAGATAACCATAGACATACTTATTTACGTAGTTCTCAGCAGTGTGAATCGCCACTGTGTAGACACAAAGGGCGACAGAGACGCTGTAGAAAGCTGGAGTTCCCTTCACACTGCATTGCACAATCACCCACTCTTGTGGTGAGGGTGGGTGGAAGACGTGCTGTTGACGTCTACTTGTTGTTGCTGAGCGTGGTAATATAAAAACCCACTAAAGGTTATGGTATGGCATTTGATCGTACTGAATACAGAAGTAGGCTCCAGTAGGCATCTCCATTGAAATCTGACATCCACAGAACCAATGGAGCTTAATATGGAAAACAGAGTAAAATGTTAATCGCCCCTAAGAAGTTTTCATGTTGTATTGCCTTAAAGGGAAACTGTTTAGGTCTTGTGCAGGAGGCTACTACTACGAAATGTGGGGCATGAGTTACAAGGCTTACAACATTTCATGGCAGAGGGAGCTTCATGAAATCAGATAGATCAGAACAGAATCTTGGTGTGTAGAGTTAGAAAGAAGTAATCTTACCAGACCTCTGTTGCCCACTTCTTATCTATCAACAAAGAGGTCAATTACATAAAAATCAATTACAAATAGAAATACAAAGATAAAGGAACCCTCTATGAATTGTTTTTATCTTATAAACTGTAAGAAGCAAAGACAAACAACACCTTTAGGTTTACATTCTTGTGATGTTTTCACTTGACAATGATTTGTGATAATGGCTGTCCGGAGGACGTTATCTATTGTTGTCTATGTTCATTTAGTGGCATTAATTCTTGTTATTCGATGAGTTAAGTTGCAGCTATTTCTGCAAATAGAAAGGGTTTGGTTAGCATGCTGTATATTTCTTCTGAAAACCACAGATTTCCTGGATCACTAACATTTACCGAAAGTGTCTGCAGGGACTGTTTCCAGTGTACGGTATGTGCACACTCTCTGTTACAAATGCAAAGACTCAACCGGGTAGTTTAGGGCCAAATATTTATTCACACATTCTCAGGACATCACAGTGCATTTTGAAAACGGAGAACAAAGATCGGAGACAAAATATTTGACAGAAAACGTGCTTTACAATAAGAGTCAGATAGCAACTAGTGTGTTGTTGTTTAAACAGTGAAGAAAGTTACTAAGTACTTAAGTACTGTAAACTTAGTACAAGTCTAAGGTGGGCCTACTTTACTTTAGTATTTCCATTTCATGATACTTTATAGTTCTACTTCACTACATTTCAGAGGGCAACATTGTACTTTTAACTCCACTATCCACTACTTTTATTTGACATCTACAGTTACTTTCCAGATTAAGATTTTGTATCTAAAACAAATATATGCTGAATTTATAAAAATACAACACATTGTGTTTAAACCAGTGATTTATTATTATATGGTAATATTGTAAAATATTGCACATTTTTCAGCAGAATACTTTTACTTTTCATACTTTACATCCATATTTTACTCCTAAAACATCTGTACTTTCACATTGTTGTATTGACACATAGAGCCAGCCAGATACACACCAAGCCACCTGTGATTTGAAGGCTTGTTTATCTGATTTCTTAGCGTAACATTAGTAAATAGAAATAATGAGGGTATGCTTTCATAACTCATTTGACTGTACTGAGCTGGGGAAAGTCTCCAGTGAGGTATGAACAACATGAAAGTCTGTACGTTTACAACATCAATCTTTCTAACGGCTGAAACAAAAACACGAGAGCAAGTATCTCTCAATGGGAAAGAGAGGCACAAGGGGATCTCCCCCAACCCCACACACCACTGAAAGCACTGTTCTCTGCTATCGGTGGAACAGAACTGAATCATCAAAACATGACAAAAATAGAGACAGACAGACTGTGTGAAGATAGTAAAATGTGTTTATCTAAGGCTCTCCAGCCGTTCATAATCATAGGTATTGATTGTTACTACCTCTACTACAATACTGTAAATACTGTGTATTTCTCAGACTTGTGTCACTTGCCCCATTTTAGCGAGATATAATATAAAATACCATGTGGTATTTAGTAACATGATCTCTGCGGTTAAATATCAAGGATACACAGAAAGTAAATTTGAGTTTAATTATCTTACTAAAGAAAACACCTGAAGTAGTAAAAGCTACCTTTTACTATCTAACTGTAAACTACAGTTAGTTTGCAAAAGAGTGTGGTGTGATCTCTTTCACATAATTTGAACAATATTCTATTACAACAGAACAAACACAAGTCAAATATTGACCATACTGCATACACCTGCCACAGTAAGTAATCTTTCTGATGTAAAACCAACACTACAAGGAAAATATAAGTGGTCGGTATGAAATGATTCGTATGATGATTATTTGATACAATAATTCACAGTCTTAGTTGATTCATTTAAGACCTCAGTGCTGCCCTGGCATCAGTTTGAGCGAGGACAAACTGCCCTCGCCGCTTTCCTCAACTGGCCTCCGACACAATGAGTCCTTTTCTGAAAACAAAAATTAAAGCATAATTGATTTAAAACATATACTCTTTATATCCACAATTACATTCCTTGTCTTTTGAAATGTCCTTAGTAAATGGCGCAAAGCCAAGAATGAAGGAGCAAAGGTGGGCAATTTCCTGTGACCCATTAAAAAGAACAAAAATGTCCTACAACAATGAAAAACATTCATATTCATTATAGCAAGAAATAATGTCTTTCAATTTAACATGCGCAAGGAGTTTAATGGTCAAAGGAATAAATTGACAGGAAATATGCTTGTTCGCTTTCTTGCCGAGAGTTAGATGAGAAGATCAACACCTCTTTCATGTCTGTCTCCGTGGCAAATATAAAACTACAGCCAGCAGCTTAGCAGAAAGATGGTTAACGGGAGTCCTTGAGTCCCTGCTGGTTCTCTGGCAACCTCATGGGGACTCTTGCATCCTGCATCTTATCCCCCACAACAACAGGATGCGTTGTTTTTACACTTAGATTTTTGTAAGAATTAAACAAACGACGAGTGAATTAGCGAGCCTGAAATGTGTTAGTACAGCAAGCAGATTGTGATACCTTGGATAGACCCAGGCTAACTGTTTCCCCTGCTTCCAGTCTTTGTGCTAAGCTAACCACCCTGCTGGCTGTAGCTTCATATTCTGCTTAGAAACACACGAGTGGTATCAGTTTTCTCATAACTCTTAGCAAAAAAACAAAAAACAAATATTTCTCAAAATGTCATATTTTTCCTTTAAGTGCAGAATCCCTTTACTTTAAATCATACGACATACTTGGTGCTGCTGGTTGAGGAGTAATGTGCAGCTTGCAGGTCACAGCGGTCAGTACAAGAAGTCCAATTATTCCAAGTATGAGGAAGGCCATACCTGAGCAAGACAAGCAAGCTACAGGTTACTTAATGAGCTTTATAACTTTATGAGGTTGTGTCATGAAAAGATAGCAGCATATGTTTTACCTGTACCAATGTAGGCTGTGTGTCCTGGAGCAGCCGTGGTGGTGGTTCTCGTATGCATCCTCTGAGTATGGGCCCTCTCATGAGGATGGCGGGATGTTGATTTGATTGATGTGATTAGAGAAACCATTTTGTTTGATGTGGGGGGTGTAGTGATGTAAGTGTTACTTGCATCACTACACCCCTCACTACAGATGGCATCTGAGGACTTGGTTCCAATATTTTTCACTCCACATTTACATCTAGAGGGAAGTATAAAGGATACAGCCATAAACAACAGGTAACTACTTTAGACGTGGTTGGGCCCTATATATATATATTCAGAGTTTTATAAACATATTAATACAGCAGACTTACTCTTTCCATTTTTGACAGTGCGAGTTGACACGGAAATATCCATCTGTACATTTGCAAGAGGAAGAATCTCTTTCCCAGGGAACAAATTCTCCACGGCACTGACATTTTGTGTTTGTCTCTCTCGTGCACTTCTCTTTAACATCACTTCCCGATTCTACAACAATAACAACAAAAATGAATTCACATGAGATCACATGAAACTTAAAAAGAAGATTTATTCTTCAGCACAAAGTGAACCAAATTTTTTTCAAAACCAGTTTGATGCAAAATTTTGGCTCTAATAACAGATTAATTATGCGTAGCTAGAGTATGTCAAACATCATGTATGTTTCTCAGCTATTGCTGACAGTATTGTTTTTTTTGTGTGTAAATCCATCATTCCAAAGCTTTAACACTTACCGACATCACATTTTGTACACGGTTTGCAGTGTTGGGCATCATTCATTTCAGGCTGGAAACCTTCATTGGGGCATTTTTCACAACCAATCTTACCTACTCTGTGACCTTGGATTAAAAAGATAAGCCGAAATTGTAAAGCTAAAAATGTTTGTATATTCTACAGCATTATCCAGAATGACGAGGGAAATTAGTACAAGAAAGTCATACTTTACCTTTTGGGCAAAACCTCCTAGCATCCAAATCAACAATGAATTTGTAAAATGTTAAAGTGAATATAAGCAGTTTGAAAAGAACCATGTTCAATATTTCAGAGCCGACAAGTGCCACAAGGGTTTCCTGGTGTGAAACACCACAAAGAGTGTGACAAAAACAGCCCAGACTTGAATCACCCCCTTATAAAGACCTGACAATCCCACGTGTTTTTTTTAACATGATATGAATGTCATTCACACAACAACCCTTTTTATTTATTTTTTGCTGGAAACATTTAAGGCTTGATGTGATAAACAGGAGTGATAATATAATGTATTATAATGTTGTGCTTTTAAAACTTTGTAATGAGATTTAGAAAAACTCACAAATTATTTTTTTTATCAACCCCTTTAATCTTGCAGCATACTTATTGGGAAAAGCTTGCAACTGGACCTTGAGTCAAGTTTTTTTTTCTTTGTCAAACTACTGTTTCCTACGGTTTTCTAAGACACTGTATTATTATTCTACTTCCATGAGGGAGGATAAATGCTTCCTTCTCACAGACTCCTGTTACAACCTACACTGATGAGTTACACAATAATGATATTGTTCAAAAGCCTTTATATTTCTCACTTCATTTTTTTACAAAAATATATATTCTGGTGATGTTACTTGACAAATCATTAAAAACGGAAGTTAATTTGATTGATATGAAATAAATAAAAGGGATAATTATTTTACATTTGTGCTGCAGCCTGCTCAACTATAAACGTTTTTAGAAACAGATTGTTATCATCTATAATAAAAATAGAGCTACTTTGACATGTTTTTAAAAACCTTTATCTTCATTCAGGACTAGTAGGAAAACAGCTAAGAACCATATGGCTTATCTATCGGAAACTATGCAGCTTTATGTTTTTTGCCAGTAACACCATGACGTAATTGAAAATGAGCTACAAAAACAGATTGAAAAAACCACAAATTCTTGATCATTCTGTAAGATACACACATCCGTTTTCTTGAAACGGATGTTGAAAAAACATCTCCGCTGGCTGTCGCTCCAGTGAAATTACAAAAAAAAGTTGAATTAGGACATCCAAAAAGTAATATATCCATGTTGAAGTGGTTGTAATCATGATACAATATTAACATAAACCAATTTAACAAGTGAAAAGTAACTCACGTGATGTGATGTGTCAGGCTGAGCCGACATCCCTGAAATAAATTTTATCTGATTACCAAAGTCAATCTATTTGCCAAGATTTGTCCATTGTTTGTCTCTTTCTGACATCTCAGAAGGTTTTGATCAGGCCATTTCTTCTCTGGTTTTTAACTGCAGGAGAGTTAGAATCAGAAGAAATAGTATCTCCCTCAAAGAAATGTTGCTCCTTAGAGATCGTCAAAAGCAACAAACTCCAAGACAGGTTTCAAAGCATGTCAGGGAAGTAGAGTTTTTAATAATGTGATTGTAGTGTCACAACAACATAACAAGTTTCTTTGCTTCCTGCTCGTACAGTTTGGACAACCCATCTACAAGTACTGAAGGTAAGACTGTGACGTGACTTTACTGTATCAGTGAAGATGTATTATGACACTTTTTGGAGTTGAACTGTGGTAACTTTTCAGCACTTCATTATTCCGTATGAGTAGATGTATCACGCTAAAGTGAAATTAGTTTACTTGTCTTTTACTCTTTTTTTTTTACAGTTCAGCAGTCAAACAGTCAAATCGAGTTCACTTTAAAGCATTGCACAGTATATGCATTCTAATGGAGTACACTTTTGCATTCTCATAATTTTACTAAAAGATGAAGCATATGCGGAATTAAGGTTTTTTTCTGTGGACACACAAATACATGAGTTTTTATCTTGTGCCCGAGACTTGAAAAAGGTTTTATAGAAGTTAAAATTAGCGTTACGACAAAAGACTGACAAGATAATAAAGGAGCCAGCCTTGTGCAATCTTCTCATCCTCATTATCAATGCACAGAAAACTAACTCTGTAGATAATGGGACAGCACTCATGTTGAGGTAACACAGAAATGAAAACTAAACATTTTCTGTTTCAGTGTGGTGAATAAAATATAGATGAAAAAGTCAGTAATTGGTGTCAAGTTAAAAGAGTTATAGTTCTATGGGGTTACTTCTGTGTTGTTATTATGCGAAAAACAGAATAGATTTGAGAGTAAAAATATCGACACTGTAATCAAAAAATGTTTCATGCAAGCAAAATTATTTGGTGATTGAAAATGTTCTAACATGAACCCAAAAGTTTCTTTGTGAAACTAAATGTTTTGTTTGCTGTTAAGCTGAATCTCGTGGGCGGGAATAAGCTTAAATGTAAACAGGCAACAGGAAACGATGGATGTCCGATGGACCTATATGATCACTCGTAAGACAGACTCATGGTCAAATACACCACTCGTGCAATTTAGCTTGTGTGGTGTCTAAATACTGCACCTTTAAAGTTATATTTACATTAAAACATTTGTCATTACTTTGTCACTAGTTGACAGTATTCAATAAGGATCCCACCCCTACCCAGCTCATAAAAGCTTTTGATCTTTCTATTGTTTCATTGATTTATTTATTTTTGCATAAGACTTCAAGTCGATTAAAAGCCTCTGCATGCAGAATGGGATTCATGCACGTTGAAAAAAAACTCAAACTGCGAAAATCCAAAGAAACAGACAGCACTGGACAAAAGATTGTGTGTTCTCCAAACCAAAGACTTTTCTCATAAAAAAAGCAAGAAACAACAGTGGTTCATCATTATTTGTTTCCTGTTCAATGCGCTATGTAAAGCATTTTGAATTGCCTTTCTGGATGAAATGTGCTACATGAATAAACTTTGGATCAGTTAGCTGGTGTACTTTTCTGTTAAGTGAGATCAAATGCAAACCCAAAGTTACAGCACCAACGGTCTACCAAAATAAACAAACCTGTAGAATCCTGCTTTATATTATCTATCTTTTTTATGTACATGTTCTGGACTCTGTCGTGTCATTATGTAGGCTATACCAAACAATAGGCCTACTCAAAACATAACTACGATTAGTTTCATAATATACGCCGACATTGTGTATCAACATGCCACAAACTGAGGGACAGGGAATGACCTACACACACAAACACACACACACACACACACGTGTTTTAGTTCAACTGTATTTGCCGTACTATATATACATATTATATATCCATATGGGTAACACTTTCTAATAATAATTCAAAGTTTCATTGTGTCTTTTCTTGAATGTGTGTAATTTCCAAAGCATCCAGTAGATGGTGGTAATAGCACTCCGGTTTGCAGTGTTTTTGAGATTAGAAGAAACTATTCACGACTTCACATTCTGTATTGCGACATGTCGGAAAAAAAAGCTGGACGAAATGCGGCACAACTGAGCAATACTTAATGTTGTTTAGTTGTTAAAAGAGAAACTGACACACCAGGCGTTTAACCAGGAGGTGAAAAGCAGTCACTGTCTTTCGGTGTAATATCAGTTTCACCTTTTGACGCTTTTTGTACTGAAACACGTATTAAAACTGTGAAAACTAAATAATAATTGGGGTTTCTCCTGTGAAACAACAAGGAACTACACTAAACGCATTCTGTTTGCAGCGGGTTTGTCGAGTGATCCTGACCCAAAAAAAAGCGATGCTGGTCACCGTTTTCTGCGAGCCGAGGGATAGCCCAGAGACCACCTTTGCTCTAGATGTATCCCCAGAGCTGGAGCTGAGAGACTTCATAGCACTTTGTGAACTGGAATCAGGAATCCCAGCTGGGGAAATCCAGGTAAGACCCATGCTAGCTGTAGCCAGATAGCTAACGTAGCTAACGGCTAGCTAGCTCTGACTTGCTAGCATGAATCGGACGTTTGCTGTTTTGCTGGACGGGTTGTTGCGGAACTCCGTTTATCAACCAGCAGACAATTCTGCTGACTTGTGCCCCCGACGGCAATTAACGGTTACAAACGGTCGGCTTGCTGGGTATCCTTAAAATAGATACCGATAACCGAAAATCAAACTAGTGAAGCTAACCGTTAGACTGATTAACATATCGAGGACAAATGTTTTGGCTTAACGATTACGCGAAGTTTACCAAACTGACGTTAACTGGTTTTCTTATCGCTTTATTGTCCCAGATACGTTAATGTTACGTGAACGAGGGTCTAACGTTAACTCATGAGAGAGACGTTATATTGACAGAAATGATCTTCATAAAGTCTTGTTACCCCAACACGTTGAACAGTGATGGTTCATGGGGCGTGTGACTAAAATAATTGTTACATTAATAACAAGTTTTTAAGTTTATTGGGGAAGTGGAGTCATCATAATTTACGTTATTTTACGTTGTATTGGGGCTATGTCCGACAGGTACAGCATTACCTTCAACTCTATTTAGCTTGGGAGCAGTAGTTTTAATTTTGATTGTAGCAAAATAGCATGTATTATGTAAAGAAAATGAGGGGCACAAATTCACCTGAAACAAATACATTGCTACCATCACAGCAATATAGCCTTGTAGTTCTCGGATGTAAGTTTGTTGTTTTGTGTGTCATGTGGACCACTGAATTGGCTAGCCATTGAAACTATAGCCCTAACATCAACAGCTGTCTGGTTTACTTAATGAAAAGTAGATTTAGCAAAAGCAAGTGCCACCTTATGGCTGCAGCATTTTGTAACAACTGTACCATTTGAGCTAATGAGCTAATGTCCACATCCATTACAACAGAAGCAAAACTTCAGTATGATGATGATGTTAAATTGAATTCTGTATTTCTCCATAAACAGATCACACATGTAGAACAGCCCCTAAAAGACCACACTCTTGCCTTGGGGACCTATGGTGTTAAGGATGGAGATGTGGTGGTTCTCAGGCAAGCTGACCGAAGGCCACCACCGACTCAGCCAGCCTTTCCAGGTAACACTCTTTGAAATGATTTAAAAGCTAATAATTTAGATCTGTTTCCAATTTCCTCTTAAGATGCAAATTACTGAATATGAAGGCGGTTTGATGTTTTTGCACAAGAAGACGGGTAATGGGTTGGGGTTTTTAGGCTCTATATATATATATATATATATATATATATATATATAAAAAGGATGAATGCATCATTTATTTAGTGAGTTTTTGTACATGCAAAATGCGTGTCTCTCACCATGTATCCTTTGTGCTCCTCAGGTCTGCCCCATATTGACTTTCGTTCCATCACAATCCCCGGCACCTCTTCTTCAACTAGTAATCGTGGTGCCATAAGGCTGCAACAGCAACAGACTTCACAGCCGCCTCAGCCGCAGTCGCAGCCGCCGCCTCAACAGCAGCCACAGCGCACCGCACAACCGTCCACGCCAATGGCCTTTCGTGGCTCCTCTCCTCAGGGGCTGGATGACCCTGCCTTACTCCAGCAGATGCTTTTATCCAATCCGCATGAGCTTTCACTCCTCAAGGAGCGAAACCCGCCACTTGCTGAGGCCCTGCTGAGCGGAGACTTGGGTAAACAAACAAGAGCTTGCACTGTTACAGGCCACGGTTTCTGTTTCTGGTCTTTTACTTGAGATGTGACGCAGTCGCGTTATTGTAACTGTCTATTTTCTCAGAGCGTTTCACCAAAGTGCTGCAGGAGCAACAGCAGGATCGAGCCAAGAGAGAGCAAGAGAGGATCAGACTTCTGACTGCGGATCCTTTTGATTTGGATGCCCAGGCAAAGATTGAGGAGGACATCAGGTATGGTGTATAGACTATAGATCTGTTGACCACTTGGGAATTTTGATAACACAACATCTTCAGCACGGTCCAGCCTCAGTTTTACTTACGTAACCAGATATTGTTATGCAATCATTTGTAATATGAAGATATTTTTAAAAGATAAAGCAGCTTACTCACGGCAATGAGGCAGCATGTTGTCATTCTTTTTAAAATATCACGTCTTATCCATGCATTTGTGCACATTCCAGGCAGCACAACGTGGAAGAAAACATGACCATTGCAATGGAGGAGGCCCCAGAAAGCTTCGGGCAGGTGGTCATGCTCTACATTAACTGCAAAGTCAATGGGCACCCTGTGAAAGCCTTTGTTGACTCAGGTAATGAGCATCACATTCTGATCCAATCTGTAGTTGTTACAATTTTCTGGCCATGAACAACAATGGTACTTAAATGTTGGTGTGTTATGGTTGAGTTTTTGTTTGTGGCTTAACAGATGAATTAGATTTAGATACTGTACTCGAATAACAAACTGATTGCCATCGGCCTGCATATCTGTAAATTATAATCTGTTTCAGCCGCTTGTATCTGTGATCTCGTTCCCCTTTGTGATATTTACAAGACCAGTTTGACTCTGAACACAAATATGATGCACTAACTGTACTCTCTGGATTTACACAGCCTTGTATTCATTGCACAGGCTTTTTTTGGTTAGAAACAATCATTTAGTAGAGCCCTGACGTTCCTTGTTTTTAGGAGCCCAGATGACCATCATGAGCCAAGCGTGTGCTGAGCGCTGTAACATCATGCGGCTGGTGGACCGTCGCTGGTCCGGAATTGCCAAGGGAGTGGGCACCCAGAAGATCATTGGCAGAGTTCACTTGGGTGAGTGTGTTTCTTTTTGTGAAGTATTTTTTTGGAGCAACACTATTATAATGTCAAACTAGTCCCTAGCAAAACATTAAGGTATGATATTTCTGTCAACACTTACCAACAGTCAGACGAACTCTGCATGCAGTTTGAAACGGTTGGATAGCCTAGCTTAGCACAATTGCTCTATGTCTTTGAGTCCACTTCCTATTCACATTTATCCATGGTTATGGTTTAATTAAGTGTTGATTATGTTGTACAATGTGTGGGTATGAAATGGCTCAGAAGGAAACACTGTCAACGCAGTTTCTCAAATACAAAGTAAATACTTGCAGATATCCACAAACGAGCTTACCATTCAATGTACCTTTTTTAAAACTGCACGCAGAGATATAAAATGTGCCAGAGATGATCCGACTCTGAGTAGACAGAATCATTTTCCCTTGATCTCTTCCTTTTGCCTCCATTTTTAATTATCTGCACGACGTTTCTTGTGTAGTTTTGAATTGTGTCGTCTTGTTGCACTCATGTAGCTCAGGTCCAGATAGAGGGGGACTTCCTTCCGTGTTCTTTCTCCATCTTGGAGGACCAGCCGATGGACATGCTGCTTGGCCTGGATATGCTGAAGAGACATCAGGTGTGAGCCCTAATTCATCTGATCATTAATTGCATGTTAGAGGTTTCCATTTTCTGTTCTCTGTTCACTGAATGTACAAGACAGTTGAAGAATGTCTGTGAGCATTATTTGTCCTAAATTTCTTGTAGTGTTCGATCGACCTGAAGAAGAACACGCTCCTAATAGGCACCACGGGCACCGAGACTCACTTCCTGCCTGAGGCAGAGCTGCCAGAGTGTGCCCGGCTGGCATACGGACCGGAGGGGCACGACGACGCCCGTCCAGACGAGCTAGCGGACAGAGAACTGGCAGAGGCACTTCAGAGGTCAATACAGGAGAGCGGTAAGAAACAGTCTCTCATCTCTGCACTTCAGCCTGTTCTCGGCTCAGTTAGAACCACATGTGCATGCGCCACTTAAAGCTTCTTACTCTCAACCCCCATTTATGCAGTCATCTTAAATTTCAGTCACATGATCACTTAATGTCATCGCCTCAGCAAATTACATAATGCTTTAGAATAAGATGAGGTCGGGAAATTGAGAGATGTCCGTCAGTAAAATCTAAGCAAAAAGATAAATGAGTTCTTTGCTGAGATCAAGCTTCTTAAAGGGAAAGGCTGATTGTGTTTGGCTTGTTTATGTATGTAGAGGGGCCTTTGGCACATACATAATAGTATGTGAAAGGCACATACTATTATTATTATTATTATTCGAAACTATTTCTATGTGATGGTTATTTAATGAACACTTCATTACCAATCTTTATCTCTATACGATAGTAAATTAGCAGACGTACCACAGAACAGTCTCGGTCTAGGCCTTTGCCTAGTTTTTAGCTGCTCTTTGTGGCTGTGATGTTGTCGTCATTTACCGTGTTTTTAAACGCATATCGAGAGGAACTTTGGAGAAAACACTGAAGCACCAATAGCGCTGATGGCTCCACTATAAGCAATCAGTGCTAATCAATAGCACTGAGCCGGATTGTGTCTCGTTGCAGAAGGTCAGCATGGACTGTTACATTTAGTCAGATTCTATCGGAAGGAGTTTGAGAACAGCAAGTGAAATGGACATCTAGTGCCAGTAAAAATGGAGGTGGGGGACTATCTTACACAGTAAATCAGTGAGATAGCAGCAGCACTATAGTATTGCATTTCATTTTTCAGAGGATAAAAAAAACACCTTTTTTGACTGAAAATGTGAGTTTATTTCATTAAGAATTGTTCGTGGTCTAGCAGGTATTTATTTTACTGGATCAACACAGCAGACATCCTTGACCGGTTGCTTTTTCTGTTAACAGTTTAAACACACACTGTCACATTATTTAAGCATCTGTCCGAGGTTGACTGTAAGCAGGAAGTGGCGCCTTCTCCACCAGTTGGTGTGTTGTAGCTTTTGAGATGGTCAAAACACAATCATGCAAGTGTTTCCCTTTTTAATGCTTTTCAAGGCTTCCATTAACACTCGTGCTATTGCCATTGATACACATAGTCTTTGTTATTGTTTCTATCAGCCAGTAATGGCTGCACATAGCAAATAGAATTCAAACAAAAAGCAGCAGCAATAAAGTTTCAGAGAATTTTCGGTGACTCTTTGTTACAGCAGCGATATTGGGGAAAGAGGCAATCCTCCACTGGAGAAGAGGCATCAATCAGTCTGGATTTGATTATCATGGTTGAGGGATTTTCCTCAAATGTCCTTCTAACTTCATCTCAATTGAGTTTCCTGAGGTTCAGTGACGGGTTATGTGATTACACTGTGACCTCTCTGTTCGGACACTTCTCACGTGTGTGTGTGAAAAGGCTTTTAGGTTGATGCATGCTCTGTGTGTGTGACTGCTAACTTTCTCCATCCCTTTGCATGATGTGTGTGGTGTGCGCTCTAACCCCTGAGCAGGACAGCACTGATGCATTTGGAGACAGCTGGAGAGAGAGACCTACCAACCAGGTACTGCAAATTCATAAGTCCATTGCGAGTGCTAAGTCCATTGCTATTTATGTCTTTTATTTTGCTGTTTTGCTGCTGGATTGTTTAAGTGATGTACTTTTGTTTCTAAGTATTCATGTATTTGTAACTGTTTATCATAGGAAAAAGTAGCACAGGTCACAAACTATCTAAATGCACACACCGGGTATTCATGAATAACACAACATATTTGCTTTAGGTTGTTTCCTTAAATGCGTATTACCCAAAGTAATGCTTCCAGAGGTGTCCACACACTGTCTCACTCCCGGTTGTATTTTCTCTTACAATAGACACTGCAGATGGACGAACTACCTCACCGCAGCCCCCACCATTTACATTACCCAGAACCTTAGACCAAGCGTCCTCATCCACCTCCTCTTCCCAAAGCCCTTCCTCTGGCCAGCCCCAAACCCTGGTTCGCTGTCAGTCTGACCCGGCCGCCATGGAGCAGGCCTCAGCACTAGGGCTGTGCCATGACCAACCTGGCCGCCAGGGGCTTCCTCAGCCTTCTTGCTCAGCAGAGGATGCTGGTTTTACACCGAATCAGGTCCACCCTCAACCTCTGCCTGTCCATACTGACTCCAAAGTGCCCCCTGTGCCCAGTCCCCCAACAGACGTCCTCCGTACATGTACCCCTCCCGCGGAGGTCCAGCCTGGCCACACAGAGGGGAATACTGAATCAGATGAGGTGATGAACAGCCCCGTGCTCCCCCATCCTGAGGAACTTTCCCCCATTCAACCCATGGAGCAGGAGGCCACTGAGTCGTACACCGCTGATGCCACAGAAGCCTGTCTGAGTGTTCTGAGCCAACCGGACTCTGTTGAAATGGAGTCCCCCACTGCCTCCCAGGGCAAGATGTCGTCTGAGAGGGACCAGCCTGAAGGAGAGCACTGCTCCAGCTCCGACAGCATCCCGTCGCTGGCAGCCGCTCTGATGGAACTTCACGAGCTGCTGGTATCCAACAACCGCGCTCGGTCCCAAAACCGCAGCGCCTCCTGCTCCCCCTCACACCCACTCAAACAGGAAACGGAGGAAGTGTCCCCCGAGCCGTGTACCCCCATGCCCGAAAACACCCAGCGGATCTCCTCTACTGCCATCTCAGCCGGTGCAGAACCAAACGATGCCAAAGCCAACCATGCTGCTGCTGTGTCTGATGAGGGACCATCGAAGTGTCTTGTGCCTGACCTCTCTGGCCAGGATACAGCAGAGACTGTGGAGGGACAAGGACCACCGCAGTGTCCAGATGGCTCCGTCGAGAGGAGGGCAGATAGGTGCGGGCAAGATGACGCAAATAACATCAGCCGTTTTGAGCCTGAGCCTGAGGTTCCTCCTGATCCGGCAGGGGACCTGGAGTTCAGGGAACCTCCTGAGGGACAGCAGGGGAGAGGGGTTGCAGACGGACGAGCCTCTGGCACAAACACCCCAGACACTCCTGGCCTCCAAACTGAGGACACTTTTCTCAGCCCCCTGTCCATGGCAGTGGGCTCACCTGAGGAAGTCTCTAGCGCCTCCTCCCCCTCTTCCCCTCCACTTGCTCAGGCTCCCCAGCTTACACCTCCAGCCCCACTTCTCCCTTCTCCGCATCCCTTTATAGAACAATTTCCAGCTGAGCACATCCAGAGAATCCAGGCAGCAGGGTTTTCTGCCAGGGAGGCTGCAGAGGCACTGGAACAAGCCCATGGGGTTGTGGAGCTAGCTCTGCTGGCACTACTAGCCCGCAGTATCACTGTGCCCACCAAGACTCATAACTAGTCATGCGAGTCCTTAGCCTCCCAATTCAGCATCTGTGTTATTTATACCTTGTTACAGAACCCGATGTCTCAGTCCCTTCTTAGCAGGGAGCACGTATAAACACAGGGAAATGCTGTCTCTTGGTTCGTCGTACAGAATATCCAAGAACAAAAAAGGACAACTGGTAATACGTTTCTGGATATTGCAGATATGTGAGGTGTGTTTGCATGCAGATGTTTTGGGTGGCCACCCATTTCATTGGTTTTTAGAAATTTGGTATGGTAGATTGATTTATTTTTTCTTGTTTTATCGTCCAACGTTGACACATTAAATGCCCAATGTATGATTGATTGATTATTTAGCCACTGAACATTATTATAATTTCACCTTTAATATGTTTCATAAAATTATTGTCTAAGTTGTGGAGCATCAATAAAAAAACCTTAAAGTGGAGTAGCGTTAGTCCTACTCACCGTTCCAGAATAACACTGGTGAGCTGTAGATCATTCAGCACAAATATGGATATTTGAAGCTGATGAATAAAGCACCGTGTTGATGTTTATGTTCGTAGCCCCTTCACAATGATGGAAAAGCTACAGTGTGGGAACTGTAACAGTTCAGAAGGGCTACTTTTCAAATCATTTCTCCAGATAAGTGGAAGCCACATTTATCACACCAAAATATCAATAGCCACAAGTGAGTTTGTGTTCAGAGATGGCATTTTTCGATTCAGTATGTGTATTACAGAAGGTTTATTGTACTGTATGTATTATGTTCCACAGTTGGAACATTTTGCAATGTGTAGTTACAAAACTGTTTGTAGCTCCTGTTCAGAAAGTCCTTTTTATTTTGTGTCAAATCCTCAGTGTGTGTTCATACCTTAAGCCCATCTATTTTCATTTGTAATCTGTTAGAATATTGCCATGTCAATACATCATATATCAAGGATTTTAATGGTTTTATTTGAGTCATATTCCAACAATATTCAGACGATTGAATTATCTACTTTTATCTTGTATGAAATTTTAAATTGCAAATAAAATGGAGCTAGTATTTGTACACTGTGTGAATTCACTTTTTTACTTCCTCCTAAGTAAGTCTGATTAGAGCTGCACTTGAATAATCATGTCATAAAATAATTTCTGTATATAAACAGTGGCAGCAACGACAAAATCAATTTACCCAACCACACCAGGGCTGCAGTCAGAAGTCCTTTTTGCTTAGGAAGGTTCCTGACTGAGTGAAATGACCCGGCAGTATCTAAGTGGCCGCCATGATAAGAGCTGTTCGAATTCTCTAAATGCTCAGGAAAGGGGCTTCAATGCGTCCTTTATTAGCTCCTTTAGCAAAGGAAAGTAGATAATTCTGCCCCACAATTCCTTGCGGCGGAAACATTTAAGGTGACTCACCATTCGGCCGTCCATGAAAACAAACGATATGCCTATCTTGAACAGGTTTAACAATTATACTCATACAGTCATAAACTAATGGGATTTATGTTGATGAAAATGAACAGACGGTTCATTTTGTGTGTTTATTTACCTCGACCATGTAACAAATCTGTTTAAAAAAAAAAAAAATGCGAAGTAAAAGGAACAGTAAATATACCAAACTGTCGAACAAATTCTCGTTCTCAATAACAAGAAGCATCCATAAAAAAACAAAAACAAGCTAGGCCTATGATATGATAGCAAAATATAACCAAACCGTTGAATCTACATTATTGCACAAAGGATAAATTGATATTGAACAGTTCATTGATGCACATGAGTGAATTGTTTCTACTGAAGCAGTGTTGATCATTAAGTGTGACAGCAGCAGGAAGGAAGGAGCTGAAGCATCCTCTCACAGAAGGAGCTCTTTATAAAGCCTGTATGCAATTGGGTATCGGATTTCATGGGATCATGTTTTAGTTGCCCTTTTTGTAGTCCTTCGTTGTAGTTTCACCATGGCGGACCTACGTCAGTGACATCCGCTGTCGCATCATGACGTAGCTTAGTGAAAGTGGAGTCGGATTCTCTGAACACCACGTTGTCTTTTCCAAACTCCTCATGAATTCTCCTTCACATCTTTTCCTTGAACCCATGACGTTTTCCTTAAAGGTCAAGGAAAAGTGGTTAGGAATAGACGTTAGGTCATTTTTTGACTTTTCGACTGCAGCCCAAGTGTTTGATACAGCAGGAAACAAACAGTGAATGCAACAATACATGCACTACTAACGCATGTCAAACTGCGACTTTGTAACGTTACTGACAATTTACATTCAAAGCAAAATGTTTCTCCAGATTAATGGTTCATTTTATGTTTTTGAGGTGTTCACAAACCACCAACCAGTTTTTTCCCCAACTGTGAGAAGCTCTTCCATTTCCTTAGTGCCATGCATTGTGGGAAAATGGTGTCACCAATTGTATTTTTTCCCTATCTGAATTTCCCATAGCCAAAGGTGATTGTTTTGTTCAACTAAAAACCCCAAATATTACATTTACCACCATAAAAAACCAGCAGGCCACCATTCAGTCAGTTTGAAGTATACTGAGATGGGGAAAAAGCTAGCGTAAGAAAAGCAGATTGCTAGAAGCTTGAAAAAAAAAAAAAAGAGCCACACCTGGTTCCAGTTTGTGTGATTGCTGCTCAGACTGCATATGAGGGTGTAGCTCTGGGATAAACAGCCACTTTTCTGACTTGTTCAGGGTTTTAAAAGAAAGAGTCTTGGGGGCAGCTTCATGTGAGAGAACAGTTCCAAACAGACGCATTATGGCTGAATTTGACAGCACAAATGAAAACAGCCACTGTTTGAAGAGCAGCTGTATCACTAATCTGCACTGCTACTTTGGAGATAGTCCTACAGTGAATAATTTGATTTCACAGATACAAACCATAAGGACAAGAGAGGCGCAATCCAACAGCGCTCAGGACTGTGGAGGTCTTGGTGAGAGCAGTGACTCTGTCAACCAGCTTGAGGATTGCAGGTAAGGACCACATGGTGCCTCTAGAAAATGTCAGTAAACTTTGTGTGTAGGATTATGATGAATAAATGTATTTGCCCTTTTTTAGTCCTCCCACAGACATATCTTCAGCTCTCCGGTCAGTAGCTTTAATGCCAAAATTGGATTTGAAAGAAATACTCAGTCCACATAGGCTCAAGCTGTTCTCAGGACCTGGACTTAAGGAGGACTATCACATTTTGTCTCCATTAGATGATCAGGATAAAAGTACAGACGGGTAAGAGAGGCTTTAAATCTTTATGCGCTTTAAAATCTTTCATACTTTTAACTAAATGTGGCCTGCTCAACAGACTCGGGGCAGCAGATCCAGCTGAGGAGGAAGAACTGAGTGTATCGTTCCAGTCAAAGTTCATTCATCGTTGTGAGTTTACCTTTTTCTTTGGGCCTTGTTGTCGGTCACTGAATAGTGTAACAATTACAGGAATGTAAAGTGCCTTGTCTGCATTTCTTCCTTTGCTCTGCAGTCCCACTGTATCAGGACTACTTTCTGCAGGCGCTGAACGATGATCTGCAAAGACTGAACAAGACCTTTGAGTCTGGTCAGATAACACCCCGACATCTGTCTGGTGTGCAGTCTCTATTTGCTGCTCAATGCTTCTCTGTGGCAACATCCCTTCAATTACACCCTCCGGAAGCGACTCAGTCCCCACCTTCACCTCAACCTGTCAGGGCGACTCCATGTACCCTTTGGCAAGATCTAGAAGAGGTGAAGGAATCTGGTCTGCTCAGCATCTTGCCAACCAGGGAGATTCGCCTTCAGGAGGTGTGGAAAGCTTTATATTTCATGTTTTAAACTTCATTATGACCAGTATGTTGCATTCTAGAGCAGTCTTCTCTAATTAAAACCAAGTGATATTAAAATTACAAATAGGATTATTTAAAAAATGAACAAGACAGAAGAGTAGAAAAATGATTGTCCTTGTGACACTGTAATCCTCATTAAACCAGAAAACTAATGTGGAGGGACAACTACTCTATTTAGCACTAGTCTCAGTTTAAGTGTTAATACAGTATATAGGCTGTACTTGTGTATTACAGGATGAGTCTGATGTTTGTATGTTAACAAATCCCAGGAAAAGACTTGAGTGTATCTCTTAATACTCTCTGGTGCGTACGGCCTCTGCATCCATTCCTCTTTAAAGGCTCACTAACTTCATAAACGACATTTTCAACGACTCGTACACGTTATGCATTTTTAACAATGGAGGTTTATGACCGAGAGGAATAAGCTTTGACTACACGGGCAGTACCTGTTGGTAGGATTAATTCTTGTTCTCTCGTTTTCCTCCTCTGAAGACGATGTTTGAGTTAATCGGCTCTGAAGCGTCGTACCTAAGGAGCCTTGGAGTTGCTGTCAATCATTTCTATGCATCGAAGGCACTGAAACAGACCCTGACTCAAATGGAGCATCACATTTTGTTTTCCAACATTCGTGGCGTGATGGCAGCCAGTGATAAGTGAGAGCTCCACATACCTGTAATTAGTTTGAACTGGTTTTGTGAGTGTGTATGCTGAGCTGGTGTCTTCCTGTCTCTAGATTTTTCATAGATCTGGAAAAACGACTGACAGAGGGTGTGTCAATATCTCAGGTCGGAGACATTGTGCTGCAGCACTGCTCCAAGTTCCACAGCCTCTATGTGCCGTATGTGACGAACATGATGTACCAAGAGCGTCTTTTCAGCCATCTTCTGTAAGTCTCTGTTCTGTACTGCTAGCCTACTCGCCACACCAACCAATAAGACCTATTCAATGGTATCTCTGTTTTCTTTTTTTTTTCCAAGGCAGCAGAACAGAGACTTTCTGAATTCACTCAAGGAGCTTGAGAGTGACCCAGTGTGTCAAAGACAGCGCCTGAAGTCATTCATTGTCCTTCCCTTTCAGAGAATTACTCGTATTAAACTCCTCCTCGAGGTAGGCATCTGATGATATTTGAATCATATTCATCCAAATGTATATTTTGAACTTGTATGACACGTTACAAAAGTCCACCAAAGGCTTCTGTTGGGTTTTCCTTCATTTCAGAGCATCCTGAAGCTGACTGAACCAGACTCTGACTCAATTTCAAATCTTAAAAAAGCAATAAAAGCGATCCATGAGGTAATGCAGTTTTACATTCAAGTGTTCAAAGCTGCACATTCATACTAAGACAGAACTGAACAGAGGAATGAGCTTGTTATTGGAAGTGAGCTGATGAATTGCCATTTAAACTATCTTTGCTCTGACCAGATGGTGACAGAGTGCAACAATCGGGTCCGAGAAATGAAACAAATTGAGGAACTGGTCTGCCTGGAAATGCTGCTGGACTTTGGCAAAGTTAAGGTGACAAGTGTCCTTTTGTTTCGCTCAAACTAAATTCATTGCTATCTGCAGGTTACATAAGGGAATAAAGTCTGCGACGCATTCTAACTGCCTCTTCCTCCGTCCAGTTAGTCCCTCTGGTTGTAAGCGGGCGTTTTCTGGTGCACCAGGGTCCCATGAGACAGCTGACTGTGGAGGCCACTTACCGCCCAAGAATGTCATTCATGAGTATCTACCTCCACCTCTTCAATGACCTTTTGATCATCTCCTCGAAAAAGTATTTCACCAGATTGCAAACTGGTGCAATTAACTACCGATTTTAATTTTTAACACCACAACCTAATTTCTTATTTGGTAATTCACTGAATTGTCCTCACATTGTTTGCCTTCAAACCACTGTTTTCTCTCTCTGCAACATGTCAGGGCTCCGATGTTCACAGTTATGGATCATGCATCGGCCTCACATGTGCACGTTCAACATCTGAAGGCTGAGGTCCTGGGTCTACCCCCAAACTCCTTCCTGTTGCATCTCTCCCAGTGTCACACCGGACACCCGACCGCCATGATACTTGTTGCAAACACAAGGTACAGGTTTTTTTTTTTTTTTTTTTTCTTCCCTTTTTTTTTTTTTTTTTTTTTTTTTTTTTTTTTTAAATGACTAATGCATCTCCTGAAGCAGCCATTCATCTATCTGGGATTCTTGTCTGATTTATATTTCGCAGGTCCGATAAAGAGGAGTGGATGAATGCGCTGTCGTCTAAACAGTGATGGAAACATGATTCTATACAAAACAAACTAATGCCGTTTTTAACTTGCACATTACTAATGCATTTTAATAATTTGTTAACTTTATATACACTTGACCGCACTTAATAATTTTGATAATGGCACCATACATGACAATAAGGATTCCAACATGCACTGAGATTGTCACAATAAACCAACACGCATGTAAGGGGATGTTTTGGGGTTTTTTATATTGTGAATATAGTTTTTCACTTGTATTAAAATGACTTATTTTAAGCAATGTGCCTTTTTTTATTTCTTTTTTTTTTTTTTAAATGACTGTCACATCAGCCTAATACAACAAACGCATGCTTTAACTGAGTAAAGATATTAACAAGAGAACTTGACATAAGCAGCCCCTGTTCATCTCAATATTGAATACAATATCTCTCAGTGGCCGATATTTTGATTGTGTGTTGGTGCACACCTTTACACATGGGGAGTTCTTAATCTATGGCAGGAGACTCTAATGAGCCTGCAGTTGACTTAAGGAAGAGGAGCAAATCTGAATGGTTAGTTGAACACATCTGGTCTAGGCAGCACACAAAATCTGACTTTTGTATTTCAGTTTGTGGGTTGGTAGGCACTCCTGATACGCTGCTGTTTGTGCACAAGCACTGAGAAAGTTCTTTTTTTTTTTTTTTTTCTCTCTCCATAATATGTCCACTTAAAGTAGAGTCCCTGTGTCCTGCTGTGAACGACGGTTGGCTGATCCAGCTGTAACACAGTCCTGATGCCACAGGTTCTCCGCTAGGCAGTTGAGAAGTGGGGCTACGTCAACCAGCCCGTCACTGACCTCCCCGCCCACGCGCAGCACTCGTAACTTCCACGTCTCCTGGAAGTCCCTCACGTCTCTCTCTGGCACATCACAGTGCATGAAAAGGTCAAATCTGAAGGAAACCTTGAGGACAAATGCTCATCTCTGTATTGATATAGTGGCTATAACTGTCAGAAAATCAACATTCAAGTTTTAAAAAAAAAAAAAAAAAACAAGAGGATACTTGGTGCCAACCACCAATTTCACAGATGTCCCAGTCCATTTAGCAATTTGATTTGACAAATCATCAAAAGATGTTCTGTCAGTGAAGGAGAATAGGAAAAGGACGGCATCCACCTGCTCCTTACAGGCCTGGAAGACACGGAACAGTGACTTTACAAAACGTTTGGTAGGTGGTGTTAGGGTATTTATTTTGATATAGAATAATGTGAGCGTAGTCATTTTTCTGTTATAACTCAATACAATGCGTTTTGTGAAAACACTGTTTTATACATACTGGAAGCAAATGGTCAAATCTACGCAAGGTGTTCTCTCCACAGTCCCACAGCTGCAGCCGGAAGAAAAGCACTCTACCATTCTCTCTCAACTTCACGGGCCAGTACACCACCGTGGTTTCAATACCTTGAGGAAAAGATTCATTGAACGAATATTTGTGCGATCTCATTAGCCTTTAGGTTGAAGAGTTGATTGTGTAATTCCTTCTAAAAGCAACTGACTCGCATTGATTGTGGACCTACCTGTGGTTTCATAGTGCAAGTTAGGAATATTCAGGCCTGCAAGACGTGCAGCGAGAGCAGTTTTCCCGACTCCACTCTTGCCAGAGATGAAGATCTTATAGTGAACTGTGTCCACAGCTACATGTGGGGGCATCACTGGAGACTCCAAGAGGCCTGTAAAACAAGTTTGAAAAGGGCCGTCTAAATATTTACTTCTGTGTACTGCTTGGAATTCATACTTTCTACATGGACCTACATGATGTGCTGGTCAAAGATCACAGTGCAACGCTTAAAAGTACGGTGTTAATATTCTACATGACAGCATGGACACAGCAAAAAGTCTCTTATTTTATACAAATCTTGGATGTCTAAAACAATAATTAAAACACAAACAATCTTAGGCTGTTTTGTTATGTCATCTTGTTTTTAGTGATTTCATGTGGATTGTGCAGTAAAACGGTACACTAAAACACTGAGTCAGGCTTGTATCTTATTTTCTTTACATTGTTCTGATTTATTTGTTTAGCCTCAATATAGTGTTTGCAAATGCTACCAACTCTCCCTACATCTAGGGTTCATAATGACAAAACCAACATGTCTTTAAAAATATTTAAAATAGTGTCCCACTCAAATTATGATGAAATTAGAATAAACGTATCTTGTTAAGTATGATAAGTAGCAGCATGTTGAACGTTTTCTTAGTTTCAAATATGTAACAGTTACTGTAGAACAAATTTCCTGAAATACTTTGTGTCATCAAAGCCCGGGTAACACGTGCTGCATTTGAAAATCCATTATTTAACAAAGACGTAACAGTTTATTTGTCATACCGAAGTTTTTCCGTCTCTTCTTGTGTATAATTTTGCTGAAATATTCTTTGCTGTCTTTACATTGATGCCAGTCAGCTACTACGATTGATCCGGAGGAAGGAGCAGCTTGAGCCATGTTGTTATCGCTCGTGACGCTGCTCAGCTACAGTTAGCATCACACTGCTGACGTCAGTTTATTTAATCAAACAAGTCAGACTGGAGCGGAACAAGACAGCCCGTTAAACCGGTGTTAGTGTTACAATAAACAGTCTTTTCTCATCATAAAGTGCTTTAATAATATAAATTATTGTCGCCAAATAGCATTTGAAGCATCAAAGTGCAGCCAGCTGACAAAAACTTCCATAAACAAAGCGTCTCCATGGGCAGCAACCTGACAGGAAACCCCTACGTCACTTCCGTTAGCGACTGCAATTCGTGATGGTGGTCTGGTTCTCCAGAAAGTCGTTAATTTCGTATTTTTTCAAGGCACTAACCTGTCGTTTTTGGACGAAAACAAAAAGCCTGCATTCAAGAAGCAATCCCGACTGTGAATACACTTTAGACATTAAGCCTCATAGAGTTGCAACAGATGTAATGATAACGTTTCAGTTGAGATGTTAAAAGTTGTGAACGTTATTTTAAACAGTCATTTACAGGTTGCTGTGCCGTGTACCACTGTGTGGCCTCGATTGTCCCATCATGTTAACAAGAGTGTTGTAGAATATCCCATTTTTATACAGCATTTGCAATGTTGTTGGGTTCAAGTGCACTTGAAGGCGATTTTTCCGGTAGTACGTGAATGGTGCATTGGTTCTCTTCGCCCACCGCCAGAGGTCACTAAACTCCAGCGTTGAAACGTTAAATGCAAGGAGGAGATATTAGGCATTATTAAAAACAATACCCTGTGAGCTCTGACAGTCTAGACCCCACTGCTCCCCATCGTTATGGTCACAGATATTGGTGACTGTGCTATCTTCTCTCAGCTGCATAAGGATTGAGAATATAAGGAAGGCATACATTATTGGTGTGGGAAGCTTACACTCAGAAGTGTTTAATTTTACACATTTAACATTGTAAGCAATTCAATTCAATTTATTTTGTATAGCCCAAAATCACAAATTTGCCTCTGAGAGCTTTACAATCTGTACACATGCGACATCCTTTGTCCCGGGACCCTCACATCGGAACAGGATAAACTCCCCCAAAAAAAACCTTTAACGGGGAGCAAAAAAAGGAAGAACCCTCAGGGAGAGCAACAGAGGAGGGACCCTCCCCCAGGATGGATAGAAGTGCAATAGATGTCATGTGTACAGAATGAACAACATAACAGAGTTACAAAACATTCAATGCATGTGTCAGAAATTATTCATATAATGAGAGTAAGTATAATAATGATGGAAAGATTATGACTGCTAGTAATAACAGCAGGAGTGGATATAGTAGAATAACAATGATAGCAAAAGCAGTAATGGTATTGGCAAAAAGCAAGAAATGCGTAAATTAATAATAATGATAGTGGCAGTGGGTGTCAGCAGGACCACGACAGGAGGCAAGACCAGGGTCCAGATATAACCACGATCCACGTGAACCTGCGAGGTGAGAAAGCACAAAGACTCCGGAAAAAAGGCAGTGCATTAATGGTATCGGTAATATAAATAGTAATGTAACTAATAATTAAAATGACAGTAGCAGTAGGTGTCAGCAGGGCCATGGCAAGAGGCAGGACCAGCTCTAACTATAAGCGTTATGAAACTGGTAGCTGGTTCCACAGAAGAGGAGCTTGATAGCTGAAGGCTCTGGCTCCCATCCTACTTTTTAAGACTCTAGGAACCATTAAGGGAGCGCAGTTCTCTAGTGGGTAATATGGTACTATAAGCCCCTTTAAGATAAGATGGTGCCTGACCAATTAGGGCTCTTAAATTCTATTCTAGATTTTACAGGGAGCCAGTGCAGAGAAGCTAGTACAGGAGAGATATGATCTCTTTTCTTAGGTTTAGTTAGTGCACGAGCTGCAGCATTCTGAAGCAACCGGAGAGATTTAAGAGACTTATAAGAGCAGCCTGATAATAAGGAATCGCAGATGTGTAATATTTAAAAAAGCCAAGGTAGCAAACGTTACTAGCCGGGTTCAAGTGCTCAGCTGTAAGCCTCGGCTAAAATGGTAGCCAACGTTATTGTGTTCTTATGGCTCTGCTAATCCGCTTTAACCCCACTGTCACCTAACACTGTGTAGAATATGATTACGGAATATCGTGAATAGTGTTCCATTGAGGAGGTACCTAGTGAGCACCAACTGTGATTTCAAAGTTGATTATATTTCGTGAGTGATATTCAGTCTGATTCGTGGCAGCATCTAAAAAAGGGTATGCTATATTTATAGAATATTTACACCCTCGTTAAAAATAGTATATTTTAATTTGTAAAAGTAGAAAGTAAAATTGCACACAGAATTGTACTCCCCCCTTTGTTACATTTTACTTAAGCATGTCACTGGGGTCTGATCTGTGCTTTATCCAGTTTAAGACTCTGGTGCTAGCCTACAGGGCAGTGAAAGGAACAGCTCCTTCCTATCTCCAGGCCATGGTCAAGCCCTACACCCCCGCCCGACCACTTCGCTCTGCTGCCTCGGGGCGATTGGTTGCCCCGTCGCTCAGAGGTCCCTGCGGCCGTTCGACCCGGTCACGGCTGTTTTTCGTCCTGGCCCCCCAGTGGTGGAATGAACTCCCCACTGACGTCAGGACAGCAGAGTCGCTGCCCATCTTTCGGCGCAGGCTGAAAACTCACCTCTTCAAGAAGTACTACCCTGAGCCTTCTACTCAGCACTTATTGCATTTGTATTAGTTTATTGCACTTATTGTATTCGTATTAGTTTATTGCACTTATTACATTAGTTTGTTTCTGCACTGTGCAGTTGCTCTGGTTCATGCTCTTAGATGCTTGTTTGAAAAAGGAGATGCACTTATGACTTCTAGTGACTAGTAGTTCTCTTGACTACCTATGTTGAATACACTTACTGTAAGTCGCTTTGGATAAAAGCATCTGCTAAATGACTGTAATGTAATGTTATCCTCATTACTGTCAGGTTTGATGCAAAAATAGTACAAGACCCTGTCGAGAACATGGATTCACCATCTCAGAAAATAAAAGACATTTCCAGGTCACTAAAGGGGAAAGTAAAGGGCTTCTTTAAACAGAAAAAAAACACAGCAAAAGTGGATTTGGACGGCTCTTCATGCCATGAAGACTCAAGCTCCGACCATCTAAAGTCAGCTGATGATTCACTAATCTCTGAAACGGCCAAGAAAATTGTCTCAGATGGAATTAATCAGGCCGTTTGTACTTTTGGCGAATTAATGCAAGATACATCCAGTAGGACAGCTGAACAACGTGACAATAAAGATACAGTCTCAGCTGCTTGTCACACTGACCAAAAGGTGGAGAAGGAGTTGAACAGGTTCGATAATGTCCGGCAAATGTTTGCGTTGCACCAAGACACAGACGGCGACTCTGATCTGGACTCAACACTACCCTTAGTGCAAGACGTGAACTATAAAACTTCCCCCGACTGTGCATCCCCTGAAGAGGATTTGAAGGATGAAGGTGGCTCACCAGAGGACGAAAGTAGCAACAATAAGTTGAAAGACAGATGTTCAGAAGTTCTGACCAACTTCGTTGAGCTGGTCACTGAATTCAGATTAACTTTAGCAAAGGCAAGACAAAACAAAGTCCATCCAACAGCTTGCTTGGAGGATGAGGTCATTGTCCTTGCAAACACAGAAAGCCCACCCCTGCACACACAGACCGAGGTGAGAAGCTTTGATGCTGCTCCTTCAGCTCAGCATCAGGCTGCCCCGAAGAAAAAAATACCTTTATGGAAAAGGACATATCGCCGCTGCTTCTGCCGTGGCTACCCTCACAGTGAATGACCTTTTCACACACCCCTAAACACACACACACACACACACCTACACAAACAAATACACACCGTTTTATGTACTGAGTGAGTCAGTCAGACAGAGAGACAGACAGTTTCATGTACTCAGAGATGGGCAGTATTTCTATTACTTGTATTTGAAATACGTATTTCAATTACTTTTGAGTATTTTGTAATTTGTATTTGATAGGGCCGATAAAAATCAAACGTAATTTGTAACAAAATACTTTAGAGTGGAGTAATTTTGTATTTAAATTACTCAAAATACTTTCTCCACGAATCAAAAAACAGTTCACGAGTTCAGTCTTCAGATCTTCAAGTTCAACAGATTGTCTGTCAAGGTAAATAGTTTATCTGAGTGCTAGCTTGATGTATAATGTATGTCTGGGTCTGGCTACATAGTCTATTGTATATACATGGTGATGGTTATAATATCAAGCTCGATGCTAACATGCTAATGACGCTAGCATGCTGTCTAGGCTAGTGCATAGCCAGTGTTTAGCAAGTTAACTTATCAGTCGAGTAGCTAGCTATATAGGAAGAGGGAGATTGGGAGCTTGTATGTTCATGATAACCTTATCAAGAGACGTCTGACCATCTAATCTTGCACTGTATTACAAGTTATGCTCTATCTTCTCAATGTGAATGTCATAATGCCATATCAATGACTGGCAGATAATATAGTTCACAGTTAGCCAGGCTATGACAGTAGATGTTAAAAAAAACAAAAAAACATTAAATATCCAATTTATTTTATTTAAAAGGCATATTATGAAAGTATTCTTAGTTTTATTATTTCATACATTTTACAGTTGGCCAGGTGGACAACATGTCTCAGCAAGATGATGTTCAAGAAGGACCATCAACAAGCACAGATGTGCTTAGTTACACTGACATTCTGTGACTGTTCTTTCTTTGTGTGGGCTTCACCAGAGCTTTGTGTACATGATATAGCCCAAACCTGAATGCTCTGCGATTCCAAATTGTGAGAAAACGGAAAATCCAGAAAAAAGTATTTCCTATATTTTAAATACAAAATACATGTATTGTATTTTGATACATTTTCTGGCACCAGTATTTTGTATTTGATTTTGATACATTTATTTGAGGGGTATTTTGTATTTTGTATCAAAATACATTTTGATGTATCTTTGCCCATCTCTGCATGTACTGAGTGAGTCAGACTGACAGACAAACAGACAGACAGTTTTATGTACTGAGTGAGT